AATGGTACGTACCGGTAACAATATAGATACAGATATGTGATTCCAAATTGAAGTGTAATGGTATTCTTCTTCTTTATAATTTTTTTTTTCTTACTCGGCGCATTTCGGACGCAAAAATCTTACCCTACTTTCTTCGGCTTCCCTTTTTTTTCCCCTCCTCTGTAGCACACTTTCTTCTCCCTGTATAAGATTTTTTACCGCAACTTACCATCATAATTAAAGAGAGCCTGTGATATGAACCAATAACCAGGCACTGGTAAGAAGCGTAACGTGGTTAGCACAGGGTCGAGATCAAAGCCACGGGACTTTGTGGAAAACAGATCAGCAAGTTCTTCAGAGCTGATGCGTTATCAAGAGGTAAACACTCTAATAACTTGTCGTACCATAAACCCGGGGGCAATTTTAAAACAGATCTACAGCTTTTAAACTGCGGTCTTTGAAATTCCACGTTTTCGAAAACTCAGAGTACATATCAATTTGGATATTAATGGTATCATAATTGTATCTTAAGGTTTAGTTTAGTAGTGCCCCTTTTCAGCAGAACTTATCTTAAAGTTACTTACATCCTAGAACTATGGCCTTTTTCAGCAGAAGTTATTTTAAAGTTACTTAAATTCTAGAGCCATGGACTTTTTCAGCAGAATTTATTTTAAAATTAATTACATTCTAGAACCATGGCATTTTTAGCAGAGTTTATCTTAGTTGCTTAAATTCTGGAACCATGGCCTTTTTCAGCAGAGCTTATCTTAACTTACGTTCTGAAACCATGGCCAAACAAACCAAAGGCGACAGGCCAAATGTGTCATCCGAACTGTTTATAGTTCAATAGTTTTTGTACGCAATTTACTCTAATGTATTGAAGAGAAAGAAGTCCCACCCCAACCACATACACACAAAATATTACATGTGATGATTCTTGATAGTCATTAAATACGCTCGATTTAACAGTTGTATTGCAGCATTCGGGATCTGGGATAAGCAGACATTTTTTAAAGATATTTAAACTGTACGAGGCACACCATATGAGCCGTAATATTCACCCAAGCAATCACACAAAGTTCACTTTTATCACCCACACACACACACACACACACACACACACATATATATATACATATATATATATATATATATATATATATATATATTATCTATTTCACACAAAGTTCACTTTTATCACACACACACACACACACACACACACACACACATATATATATACATATATATATATATATATATATATATATATATTATCTATTAAAGTATTGATTCATTGATTACTTTTATAGCGCTTGTATCCATGCTATTTTAGTACTTCATATATTTTAGAAATATTTGTACACACACCGTGTCAAATGCACCACTTACAGTGTGGGGGTAAATGTGGCCTGCGTGTCGCTCTAAGGTTATGACCGTTACAAACGAGTTGTACACCCTGAGCAGTTTGGACAGCGTTAAAGAAATCACAAAAGATATCTTGATGAAATTCAAGCGTAATTTTATTTTATGCTTAAGCAATTGTCACAGTCTTTCACTTATAAGCCCAAGATTCAAACACCTCACGATTAGCCTATTTATGATAATAAACTTATTTTAACTTGATATTAAAAAAAAATCATTTGTTGAGAGTGCGAGTTTAATATATATATATATATATATTCTTAACCAACCTATGGCTATGTTCCAAAATGTTTCGAGCTGTTCGTTCGTTCGGTGTGATTAAAGGTTGGGGAAGGGTGTCTAGGCGGATGGTTGGGGTCGGCATATGGGTGAAAAGTGGGGGCGGTGTTCAAGCGAAAGAACAGATGGGTAAAATTATGTGGTTTTTTGTTGTTTTTTGGTTTTTTTTTTTTTTTGGTTACTGATGTTTAAAAAAAACAAAATAGACCTAAGGCTCCACGTCTGCGATGTTTGCCCAGTGCCAGACATTGATGTTTTCATTCCTAGATGTCACTCATGTCGTTAAGTTCGGAAGTTTAGCAAATTAGCCGTATTTATGAAGTAGCTGTATTTATGAAGTAGCCGTATTTATGAAGTAGCCGTATTAATGAAGTAGCCGTAATTAATGACGTAGCCGCCTTTATGAAGAAGCCATGTTTGTGAAGTAGCCGTATTTATGAAGTAGCCATATTTATGAAGTAGCCGCCTTTATGAAGTAACCGTTGTTAAGATGTAGCCGTATTTATGATGTAGCCGTATTTACGAAGTAGCCGTATTTATGAAGCTGTAGCTTTCTTTTACCTTTTTAACATCCTTTTAACATATTCTTACTTTCCTTTAAATTCACTCGAAGCAATCGGCTACTGGTACAAAAAAGAGTTGACTCTGTCTTATAAATTTTAAATGTTTACATGGTTTAGTTGCTTTATCTCTGATTGTCCCTTCACTTAAATCTCACTGGCTTTATTCATCCATGCAACCAGCAACAACTGGGAGGGGGGCATGGACATCATTTGGGTAGGGCAGGGTTGGGCATTTGTCCCCCCCCCCCTAAATTTGCAGGTTTTATTTAAATGACTATGTAATGTGACGCCTCCAGTAATAAACAACTTTGGTTTTGGTTTTTGCCCCCACCCCTGGAAAAAAACTGAAATGATGCCCCTGGAGGGGGATTATACCTTGTGTGTATGTGTGTATCAGTGATTATTTCAGAAATTTTCCCGGGGGGGGGGGCACTTCAGATATTTCGGGAGGGGGGGCAGTGCCGGTTGATTTATTGTTGGACATATTTTTGCTCCGTTTGGGGCACTTGGCTTTCCCTGGGGGGCACTGCCCCCCCCCCCCCCCCGAGATCTAGCTGAAAGAAACCCATGTGTGTATATTGCTCAACAATTGGATGGTTCTAGCTTGTGTGTAAATTGTACAACATGTTCAACAAAAGGATAGTTCTAGCTTGTGTACATCTTACAATGGCGAGAATTCTAGTTTGTGTGTATATTGTACGAAAATAGGATAGCTCTAGCTATGTATAATAAACAACAGAGGAATTATTATCAGCTTGTGTGCATGTGTTTTATTTCCTAAAAGGTCAAATACAATTCTGCTTCATTATAAAGTATAGTGTGGTGTTCGCAAATCCGTATTCATTAGTGTTAATCCACGAAACATGAAGACACAAAATAGACAATTCACTAGAGAACTATAACTCCCTACTGAATTCAAAGGCAGCATCGACTTGTGTTAAGTGAGGCGCGGAGGCGCTAAAAGGAAGCAAGGCTTCAAACCAGAGTTTCGTGATCCGTCTACACGTCTCGCTTGGCTGGTGCATCTGACAATTAAATACATATTTTTAAAGCTATAGACCTACTAACATAATTGGTGTCCATTATTGATTGCCTTTATATTTGTTAAACTTCAAGACTCAAACTAAAGACGAAGTAGCGTTTGCCTTTTCAAAGTAGTTATACTTACTGATATCCTTGGCAATTTGTACGGTTCTGAAAGATCACATTGTATGAGTGTAACTACTGAGTCAGCCAGGGTTTGAAGCTACACGAAATAGTATGTAGCTTGAACGCAGTCTCATCTCATATTATCATCAAAGATGACATTTCTCATAGAGAACTGTGCAAAACATCGTTCTTAAATTGAAATTTAAAAATACAAAACATTTATAAAAAATATAAAAATCGACCATGTCTCCGTAAACAAAATGTGCAGCACAAACAAAAGCCAACAGCGTCATTTTAAACATTATTATTTTTTTTTTATTCTAACTGTATATTATAGCGTCATATGTCACTAAGGCCACCATTAAGTGGCAACGAATTTTTTTAGTGGGTGCTAGCCTAACATTAAACAAAAAACATTTAATCTAAAAAGTTAGGTAATTTTTCTCTGGAATTTTAAAATTTTTAACATAATAGTAGCCTAGTTTTAATCAGCATATGAGAATGTATGCATTGTTCAATAATGTAGTCTACCTATAAATTTCTATATATTAATTTTTTTTTTTTTTACATCTTAATGTCAAGGTTTTAAATTTATGCCACGCTGTGGAATATGGTGCATAGAGCAAGAGTCTCCTAAGATCTTATCGTAAATCCACCACTGCAAATATGAATTTTGAAAATTATTATAATCTTGCCCTTAAATTGTTACTTGCTGCGATACTTTGAGTTATAGCACACCTCAAAAATGGGCCTATATAATATATTTTAAACAATCATACTGAAAAATAAGCCAGGACTTGGGCCTCGAAGGTTTAAACTATTAAACTAAATGACGTTTATGGCGAAAAAATGTTGAATATATAAATATTAAAGAAGTCAAATCAGAAAGAGTTGTGGTGATCTGAAGTAGTGCCCCAGGTGGCACTAAGTCTAGCTACGCCACTGGATCAACCAGACGATGGAACTAGATAAATAGACAATGACGTTAACAGTTAATAGAGGCAATGCAGGACAGAAATGACACTAAAATTCATAAACTAATAGCCTAAACATTATAGAACTGAAACATCCATATAGCTTAAAACAAATTATTTTAACTCTATTTTACAGTAGGTGTAGGCCCTTCTGATGACAACCCGTTATTAAAAGTTTTAATTATATAGTGCTTTGTTTCTTGAGAACAATCTTGTTCATGCAGCTGTTTTTCTACATTGGGAAATAAAACATTCAATCCTAACCTATGACAATGATAAAAACTAACTTTAAAAAAAAAAAATTGCTAACAAGATTGAAATATGAAAACATAGACGCAATTTCCATCTGAATGTTAAAATTTATTTAGCTTGACATCTGCTTGATTCATTTTGTGCTTTTTCAAATTATTGAGACGTGTCTTGCCAAATTTGATGTCCTAGAAATTAATTTCATTGTTTCTTAATAAAAATTTTTATTTGATAAATACCATTTTAATACGAATTAAATTCATTTAAAAAAGTAACATGGAAACTGAAAATAGAAACAAATGATATTGGCACAACAGTCATTTTGTTTCAAAAGTTGAACGTCAACCTACGCAATAGAAGGAAGGGAAATCACTCTTAATCAAACAAAATGGCGACACCCTTGAAAAATGTGTTTTTCCAAACTTTACTCAATAATCGGTCTCGATTAAATATTATATCAGGTAGAAAATGAGTCTATCTACATATTATTTGGCTTGAAAATGTTGGAAATATTTTTTATATTGGCCCCCTCTCCAACAGGTACTTAAGAAAACCTGATTTTCATAATCATCCTTTACTTTCTGCATTATAATTGGGAACGGAGCTTTTAATTTTACATCTAACTATTCACTATTCTAACCGAGTCTACTTATCCCATTCGCTTCTAATTCTAACCTCTAACTCCAAAAGACCACCTGGAGTACTAAGGAGAGGGAGATAACTCTTTAAGTGCAAGCACCCCAAATTTTATAAAATGGTTGTTTGAAACACATTATTATGCAATTTTAACAAGAACTTAAATTGAAAAGTATAATTAGTATTTTTAAAATGACTGATAGTTTATAGTTTTAAGTACTTTTAATTAGTTAAAATTAGTTAATTTTAGCAAATTAAAACTATAACATTAACGGGGAAAAAGTAATGAACAAGGATCAACACTGCTACATATAAATATAAGATTCACGGTCCTAAAGCACACATAAAGACTAATATTCTATATGTGCATATTTATGGACAAGCAACATTTTTCAGGGAAACATTTTTAAAATAAACTTATGAAGCTAAAATAAAATTCAAATATCTGCAGAACTATGGTTTTAATTTTTAAATCTGTATGACTCACAATCGAGCCTTAATTATAGCATCATTTTATTGTATGGGAATTGGCATTCTCATCTGTGCTGAATTTTTCCTGAGTATGATCCTACAAGTTTTAAGCAAGTGAGAACAAATTTTAAAAAATTGAGATATCCTTTTTTTGTTTTGCTTCTAAGACATTTGGTACAAGCACAATGTCTTATTTTTTAACTGACTTCTGAAAGTTTTACCAACATGTTATTTTAGGTCAAATTTGTTACTGAATAAATTACGGGATGATTGTAATCCATGTTGGTGAGCCATCCTATCACCATAATCATGCCATATGAGAAGTCTGTGGTAGATATTAGGCCATGAACATTAAGCCTTGGGAAGCTCACATTTTTCTCAGGGTGCATCACACTCTGTGCAGTCACATCTTATTTCAAACTGAAAATGAATAACCTACTACCATCTACTCTAGCAACTAGTGTACTATGGTTACATTCTCAGTCTCAGTAGTCTGTGGAGTGCACTGTACAGTTATGGCTACTGCCAAGAGGAATGTAATATGACACTTTATTTACAGAAAATTACTCATCTGAAGAATTGTCTTGAAAAAAGTCTACATACATTAGTCTTAGTTTTCCACTCAACTCTAGCTCCATCTTATTTTGAATGCTATTTAACAATTAAAATGTCCCAAAATATTTTTCTTGGCACAGTTTTAAAGGAACTGTTTTATTGCGTTTAACTTGAATTTATGGACATTTATATAACCATTTACCACAGTAACCAAGCTACAAGAATATCAAGTTTAGTCAATATTACAGTACTCTATGAATAAGGGGGTGGGGGGTGTTGTTAAAATGAAAATTTCAAAACTAATTTATTTAGTTCTAGACATTTATTTTCTTTTTGGAAAATTTGACCATACTGTTGCTTTTTTTTTTACAATATTTTCAATGATTCACAGTTTACCGCACTTTACTGAGTGAAGCAGACACAAAAATTGACAGATATTGGAGGCAAAGAATTTTCAAAGCAGATGAGCTTGGAACAAGTGGGAAATGTACAAATCACATTAAACAATAAAATTCATTATTTGGAAATATATATTTATCAAAAGTAGTTACAGAAGATTTGAAAATATTCTTTATAACCTACAAACTACAATGGAAATATCAGGATGTTAGAGTAACTGAAAAAAAATTAATTTGACCCAAAATGTGTTCTATAATCATTGTATAATTTTGTTCCACTAAATCTGGCAGAAATGAAAACGTAATCCACATAATTTAGAAAACTTAACCTTAAACTTTATAAAACATATATTAGATTATTATTTTTAATTATTTTCTTGTTTTTATTTATGGGTTCCTATTTTTCAAGCAGTTTTGACATATATTTGACTTTATGTTATACTTTCAGCAACTCTGTTACAAAAATTGAGTAATGTAAAATCACCATTGGATGCTAAGTTGTGTGCTTATGAAATAATAGATCTTATTCATGTTGCTGACACAAAACAAGAAGTAATTCTGTTGGAAAATCTCTTATGCCTTTTAAGGTAATGTAAAAATGTGCTTTTTACTTGTGAAATAATAGATCTTATTCATGTTGCTGACACAAAACAAGAAGTATGTCTGTTGGAAAATCTCTTAAGCCTGTAATGTAAAAATGTGCTTTTTACTAGTCAGTCATGATCAGTCACATTTTTCTGAAAACAAAAAAAACGTTTCTGGCTTTTGTTTTCTGTTTATTAAGCCCTTGTTATTTTTATAGTGGTTAGATATGGAATAAGCTTTATTATGTGGTTTTAGTTCTGAGCAAAATTTCTCCACTGCCCAGCTGTCACACTCAACAAAGCTCAGAGGGAGCATGGCTCGACATCTTTGATTTCCAACTTATTGACTAAAATAATGAATTTTAATTAATTTAGTGTTGTGTTGTATTATTAATATTAGTTAGAAACAATTTAAAACCTGTCTCATGCTAAATAACATTTGAAGTTAAAAAAAAATAAAATTTTAAAGATATCTGGACATGTTGCCAAGGAGCCATTGTAAACAAAACATAACAGGCAATATTTTCCTAATGAGATAAAATAAAATTTAAATTTTCATAACTTTGATTTATTTTAGTGAATCTGGTATCACAGACATTGAAAACTTCAACTTTGGAGCAAGTATCATCAGATTATACCATTATTTGGGTTTACCAGAAGAGGCCTATGCATTATTCAAAAGTCATGTTAGTATTTCAAGTTGCATCTAAAAGATTGTTGATGATGTTGGATTGAATTAAAATTAATACAAAATTTCAAGTTTTCCTAAATCACCTTTATTTCATTTTGACTCTTTTAGTCATATCATTATTTCTCCTCAACCCATTTTTTTTACTATATTATTGTATCTGGTCCCTTAACTTCTTTATCTGATAATGCAATTGCTTTGTCTTTTATATAAAGCTTTGATTTTCTTTTCCATCTGACCAACATTCAGTGTTTTATTTACAATTTATTTTGGTCCATTTATTTAATTAATAGGGTATAATAGGCATAAAATACTACACATCATACAATGTTAAACAATTGTACTTAATGAACATAGCGTTGTTGTTTTTTTTCTTTTTCAATTTCACAGAAATGTAAGGAATTTCTTATGGACAACACCTGCCACAAAGTTCTCATGGATCTGCTGTACAATCACAAACAGTACCAGAAAGTTTTGGATGTTTTTGCCTCATTGCAAAAGTTTAACATTGATTGCATCACTCTGGCACTAGGTGCTCATTATCATATTGTAAGGGACACTTCACTTAAGATTGATTCATCTTTTTAATGCAAATGATGCTGCTGAAATTTTAACATCTTTAATTTTTATACACCTGGTAGCTGAAAAGATGTCAATACCAACATACAATAAATATAAAAAATGCCATATAGTCTTTGTGGCACAGTAGAGTAAATGTGGTTTTTAATTATTTTCAAAATGATGTCATTTAAAAAGGTTATTGTTAATTATAATGTATTATTTATCATGTCCCGGAATAATGTGTATGTTTCTCTTTGGTTTCGGTATTAATGTAAATGACTAGACTTTATAAAAAAATTAATTGTAATTTTTGTGTATCCTTGAAAGTAATGAAAGTCTGTAAACTTGATTCTTTTTAATTATGTTTTAACACCTACTATTAGCAGCTATTTATTCACTTGTAAATTATTTACTGTATGTGAGAAGCATTTACATGTGTCTGAAGTATTCCTAGTTCCTAGCATAAAAGCTTCTCGTAGGTCGATTCACCTGGAGATAATTAGCATTTGTCTATTACAAATATTTTCACATGCATACATGTCTTTTATTTTACAGAACACTGAAGAAAGCTTTGAAGCTGCACAGAAATTGATAAAAGATTACTTGAAAAATTATTCTTTGTCTAGGAGAGCTATTATGTTTTATTGCATGCTTGCCATTCAGCAGGTAACTACATCAACTAATCCTTTTAGCTTCAATTATTCAATTAAATATATCAAGCAGTAAACTTATATTATATAGATTCATTTAACTAAATCAAGCAATCCAAACCTATGTTGATGTTAGTTTTTAGGTCTACATACTATCCCCAAGGAAAGGGGCCATCCATATAATATGTCCAGAAAGAAGACACCCCCCCCCCCAACCCACTATTATTTTTTTAGGCACCCTCCCCTCTTATGCCTGCTTATAATATAATGTTAAAAATGTTTTTTTATTAAAGTTAACCACTATCTTTTGTTTTCCAAATATGGAATTATAGAATATATATTTCACATATTGTAAGTTTTATCCTACGGTCTTTTAAAAGGCAGCAATCTCAAAATTTAATCTCCTTTATTGCAGCATGGAGACCACTTTATTTAAAAGGTGCTAGTGGTGATGGGTGGGAGGGGATGTTGGTCAGGCAAACGAAATAATTATTTCATGTTACAAATTACTTCCCACACTCACAGAAAGGGATACGGTGGCTACACACTACAGTATGTTGTCACTATGCTAAATATTACTGTTGCGATATCTAGCAAGTTATTTGTGGAGAAACAGGGTCATAGAATGACGATAAATTATGAAACATTTTGGTGATATTTTTTTAATAATTTATAGCCTTTTTGAAAATATTAAAAATCATGGATGTCAAGCATTTTTTGGTGACAGTTGACTTTATTGGAGATATTAGAAACTATCAGAATTTCAGGATAATTATTGCAGAATTTGTGCATAAATGTACGTAGGTGAGATACCCCACCTCTAACCATCATGCACCCATTGGTAAAATGTCCAAACTCATTCATTATACCATGCCCCCTTATTACATAATAATACTAATAATGATTATTTGAAAATCACGCTTCATCCCCAAAGGCTCGAAGCGCATTACATACCACATTGAAGTACAAAATCCAACATTACAAAAACTAAATACGAGAATACCCATTCAGTCTTTCATACCTTGCAACCAAAAACAACACAGACAAATATACATCTACAAGATAATAGCAAGATAGACAACATCACCCCAGCATGTGTTTGCGAAATAGATAAGTCTTCAAATCAGTTTTGAAAGACTCCAGTGTCTGGCTGTTTCTGAGAGCGACAGGAAGTGTGTTCCAAATTGTAATACCGTCCTCTCAGTGCATACATAATACTACCACCCTTATACAGAATATCTGGATGTTAACCCCCCGCCCTTCCCCCCCCCCCACTCCTAGTGCATACAAAATATCTAGATGATTAGATGGCCCCCTAATGAGCAATTAAATCCGTCCTCTCAGTGCATACATAATACTACCACCCTTATACAGAATATCTGGATGTTAACCCCCCGCCCTTCCCCCCCCCCACTCCTAGTGCATACAAAATATCTAGATGATTAGATGGCCCCCTAATGAGCAATTAAATTTCATAGGTTTGATAATGTGACTTTTCAATAAATGTTTTTCTGACAAAAGGAGCATGATGGCTAGGTTCATGTCAATTCAAATTCATTTGAAACAGACTCAGTTCCCAGGTGTTCATTTAGTCAGAACATTTCACACAATATATGAGCGGAGACCCGATTGCTTGTCAAGTCTAAAAAGACAATAAAATAAAATATGTTCTTTGTCTACATTTGTGGTCTTAACTAAGAAAAGGGAAGAAAAAGAACAAAAACATTACACCTTGCAAAATAACTAATAAGGTAGAAATAGACATTCATAACTTTTAACCTATCAACGAGCTTTTGATTCTTTTGGGGTTGTTTTGGCTTTTATTTCAACTGAATATTTTCAGAATCATCCAAAGGAAGCGCTTCAGGCCCTGAACAACTGCCAACCAAATAATGTGACATTTAATATGAAGGTATCAGTTGTTTCATCTCAGAATATTGTAACAAATGCAAAACTTATTAAAATATTTGTTTCAATAATGATAAAAGTTAGGAACTGGAATAAGTTAACGAAACTAGCGTATGATTTTTTGTGTTATTTCCAGTTGATATCCTTAGCTAAACTGGGACAATCTTCAGAACTGATGAAAAGTTTGGTCAAAGTTAAAAGTGAAACAGAAAATATATCAAGACCTTTAGATGTCAGGCTTTTTAGCGATACTGTAAGTAGTTGGTAAGAAAGATTTATTAAACCAGCGTCTGTTGCTATGAAAGACATCTTTAAACCAGCTTTTGTTGCTATGAAATACATTTTTAAACCAGCCTCTGTTTGGTCCCTTTTTTTTTTATCTTGTTAAACAATATTTTTAGACCCGGACCACAGCTTACAAAGTTCAATCAGGAATATTTGTATAAATGTATAACTTTATCCTGGGTTGTTTTTTTTTGTTGTTTTTTATATATATACAAGCATTCTCAAATTGTGCTAACATATGTTACTCCTACAAACATCTCTTTGAAACATCTGGCGACTTTTCCACAAACACAAATTGAATAAACAGCCCAAATTTATTATTTACAAGTTCTTCACAGTCATTACCATTTTCATTTAAGTCATTGTTTAACAATCGCATAGAAGAAGTAGTCAAATTTAAAAAAAGCAAATTAATGAAAGCAAGATAAAATAAAAATGCACTAATCCTTGTTAATTTTGTTAATATCACTGCAAAAATCCTTCACATTTTGCATTTAGTATCTGATTTTTTCAATATGTTATGTTACAGATGAAAGAAATATCTGAAAGTTTAAATGAGAGTTTGAGCCCACGAGACTTTGCCAGTGCTCGTTTCCTGATAGAAGACCTCGGAGAAAGGGGAGTTTTGAGCAGGCAGGTGATAACAATTTTTCTAGACAGAACCATTCCAGGAAATGTGGGGAATAGAAAACAAGGAGGCAAGCAAAAAGTCGTAAGGGACTCTCAACGTGACACACATCCACGGTTAAGCTGAGCTAATCCTGATATCTTTAACAGTCTTTATTGGAATGAATCATTAAGATTTTCTACAATACTTAGATTGCAATGAAGAAACATATCAAGATCCCAAGCTATTCAGTTAATGATAATGATTCAGCTGTGAGTCATTATATTTGTAAAAACTGTATTTTATTTTTAAAAATTATGAAAAAAAAAAAAAAATTCGCATTGGGTATTGAATTCCTTAAAAACTAAAAGCATGATGTCCATGTCATTGCCCATGTATCAGGAATTGTACTTGGTATATGATGATGGCATATAGAAACATGTGTCTCTGTAGGTATGCATACTTACTTTGATAACTATGTCAACAGAAAGGGAATCTCTAAAATTACTAAAAAGTAAAAAAAAAAACTATTTAGTACACTATTTCAAAGGCTGCAAGGTGATGAAGTCCATTAACTAAGAATCACATTATCTTGAACGCAGTACTTAAATCTGTGCACTGCTGTGTACGTCTATTCTGTCAGTTCACTGGCCTGGCTGCAATACTGCAATGACTTTGTAAAATAACTTTTTCAGGAAAATAAATGATTGTGCATCAAAAGCAGATTTATCTAAACCTTAAGTCATCTAGTTATAATGACACATATTTAGCCTTCTGCTCTCTGGTACCATTGCCAAACCACAGACCACCATTTTTGTGTAGCTATGTTCTATAATAGTGTTTCCTAAAGTGGTGGACCGGCACCAGTCTGTGAGCATTAAGTTGCCTTTTGTTTTGATCTTCTTTCGTGTGGTCTTCATAAATGTTACGACCTTTCCTATTAAATGAATGTCCATGCCTCGAAATGTTGTGTGTCAAATCTTACTATTGTTATACATTACTGGGACCGTTGTCGAACTTCACTGTCACACAGCCGTACTTGGTCCACCCATAAGATCAACAACCAACGTTCATTGACAGAAGATATCATAATGCTTTATTAAATTATCACAGTAACTGTCAGTTCACAAAACGTTGCCTATTCTGACAACACTATCTTGCAAGCTAATCACTGACTGTCTCTCTCTTCTCCTCTTCTAACGATCAATTAACACTGCCTTTTATATCCCTACACAACAAACATTCCGCATACTGTAAAGCTCAACACCACAAACCAACTTCACGAATTGACCTCACGACTTACAACTCACAAAAACACTCTCACAATTAACAACTCCCACCAACCAAACATTCTAGTTCACAACACCCTTCCGTGCAACATAATACTAACTGGAAGAAAAAAAACGGTTAAATGTTTCTTTGTTTGAGCCTCATTTCAAAACCATCTTTAAAAAATGATATTGTTTTGAGCAAATAAATAACCAGTAAATAAAAAAGGCCTAACCAATTATACACAAATGTTTGGCTGTGTAACATCATTGCTAAACTGGCAACCCATTGAGGTAGAAAACTTGTCCATCAGTCAAACATTAAAGTTTCTGAAGCCTTGTTCTATAACATTGTAAACAAAACCAATAAAAAGGAAACTATATGCAGCACCTTCCTTAGTTCATAAAATCCTACTACGCAAAAGTTGTGGAAAGTGTTGCGTGGGAAATACATGTTATCAACCTGGTGATAATTTCAGAGAACATTTATATCAAATCAATACAAATCAAATCTGCTTTAAAACAACACACTTATATGACAATAATGAGATACCGGTAATTCATTTGCAAGAGTTGAAACTAAGGTTAAAACGTGCTGTATCGGAAATAAATGAATTTGTAGATTTGGTAAATTGACTCTCCTAGGAATCATCCGCATTTTTATGAAACTGAAACACTGTGTGTAGGTGGATGTACCTTAAAATGCCAGTTGCTAGCAATGACTAAATGAGTCTTTAGTAAATGTTAGTTTTTGCAACAATGTAGACCTATCTTAGAAGATTTTGAGCTAAATTGATTATTTTATAAGCTTCGATATGGCCCTGCAGTGGTTTGCCGCAGTGCTCTCACAAGGGTGCAAAGGTGTCCTCACAAAGGTGCCACGGTGCCCTCTCAAAGGTGCCACGGTGCCCTCACAAAGGTGCCACGGTGCCCTCACAAAGGTGCCACGGTGCCCTCACAAGGGTGCCACGGCGTCCTCTCAAGGGTGCCACGAAATCTGACACAATTTTCATAATTTAACTTCCACTTTTCATCCTATGTGAGATCTAGCGGGCTTCATGAAAACAGTAATTCCCTTTTAAGTAATTACTGTTTGCACTTACTAGATAACGCTTAGTGAGCGACATGCGTGTTTTATTTATATTTACCTGACTCTTTATTATTTTAATTAACCGTATTTTTTAAACGTATTTGCCATTTGGACGTGTAATTGTTAGAACTTAACACGGGAGGCTTGGTGAAAGTCAACATCTGACAAAAGCACCGAGAGTCGAAATTGTTAGCCAAACAAAATTCGCCACACGTACGTGATATATACCGGTACTTACGTATGGCTACGGTGGACTAACTATCCATTTGAGTTATTGAACACCTTAATACATCCCCATAGACTTAACTTGAAAGTTGCTGCAGTAGTGATGTTGCTACGAAACCTTGACTCAACACACGAGTTTTTTTGCAAGTGGCACCAGAATGATCGCCAAGCAAATGATGTCCAAAGATCGGATCTTATAAAAGGTACAAGGATTTTATTAGAAGAGTTATTCTTGCACACAGTGAGTCTGATCCTCCCTTTACAATAAGGCGAATACCATCGACAAAAGCCAAGGACAAACACTGAACTCAGTTGTCAATTATTTGCAATCTTAAGTACGCGGTCGTGAAAATTTGCGTTGTATTTTCAAGACCAAAGTCCTTTCAGCAAATCAAGGTAGATTGCTGTAGACATATGGTCAGTCCAGACTCTTTACATGTGTAAGAGAAGAGAGGCGATTTACTTACTGCTGCAGACCTTCTTCCGCGTGTGATGTTAATGCGACATCGTCAGCGTACACCATTAAACGCATTAGAACTTTAAAAAATATGGGTCTTTGCATGAAGACTGTCGACATTGAACACCTTACCATATGATCTGGTATGGATGTACGCCTACACTCCATCTTCACAATCCCTAAAGGCAAGCTAAAGAAGAATTGAGAAGAAAAGGGATGTATCTGGCGAGTTTGATCGGATGTTGAAAAAGGGTGAAGAGGGGTGAATGGGTGGTGGGTATGTCAGTGCTTAGACATATGATATCGCGGGTTAAAAAAATATGTTTAAAAAAGGCACGGCACACTTTTAACTCTGTATGTCGTCCTAACTTCCGAGTGTCGGTTTATTTTAGACATACTTTAGCCAAAAGTCTAAAGAGACTCATCATAAAACTAAATGCAGTCTCAGTGGCACAGCTAGGGGGTAATGCCACCCGGGGCGGCAGTGGCGTAGCTAGTGGGATGCGGACAGCACCGGTTGACACCATCTCAGGGGGGAACCAAACTGAAAATGTGCATATTTACAGAGAAAAAACTGATCGGTCTAGTCGAATTTCATAAAAGGATAATCGATCACATGTACATTTTCCACACACGTAACCAATCCACAAGGTTGATGCCTCATTAAAGTGTTCGGTAACTTTCGTAAGTGCTAGGAAGCTATATTTATCTAAAGTCTGAGATATAAAGCTTTCCATTGATACCAAATTTTAATACGATGTGGTCGAGCGATTCTCAGTAGGCTACATGAATCGAATTGGTAAAAATTAAACACTTGCAAAATTACACTTGACCCATTTATAGAGTTAAAAAAATAAATTTTACAAAATTTTTAAAATATCTTTTATTTAAATGTAAAAAAAATAGTTTTTGAATCAAAATATATTAAAACTAAGAAATACTAAAAAATAAATACTTTCGCTGATTCGCGACCAGCATTTAACATTTCAGCACTATTGTCATACAGCACAAGGTCTTTTACATGCTGTCTGTGATTTCACGTTTATCTGCCACATTTCCTTATTTGGGCTCATCTACTTAAAGGAAGTAAATCTTACACAGCAGTATCTGCAGACCAAAGGCTTTACTCTTCACAAATTGAAAGTGGTGACCAACATAGAGGCCTCAAGATTGTTTATCCACGAGAAGCGCTGTAACTTAGTGGAAAATGCTACAGAAAAGGCACTTTTAAAATAAGACAAATATGGAATTTGTGCAGAGAGAAGATTAAGGTTTAAGAAGAGAATGGCAGGATAACAGTTAATAGTTGCTGGACTCTCTCTGCCTGAAGAAAATAATATGGAGATGTTGGAGTGTATTGACAGCTTTTATTCTGAACCCAAGATCAGATCATCCACAGTCCAGAAAGTAGCAGCTATGTTTTGGGCTACTATCAGCTAGTGAAGGAGAGTTATTGATGTCCGTTCTAAAATTAACCTCTTTCTATGTTGAATTATCAGAAGATGAGCTTTTAAAAGAAATATTAAGGCTTACACGACACCTAAATGCAGCTGATATTGAATTTCACAAAGTCGTTGAGTGGTCAGTAGGTCTATTTGATGTTTTTAAATTCATAGCTGAATGAAACTTGCTAGAATCCTTTCCAGTACTCTCGCCAAGCCTTCAATTGTCTCTTACGATCTGTGTGTATGTGGCTTCATGTGATTAGAGCTTTTCACAATGAATGCTTATCAAGAACTATTTACGATCCACCATGGGACAGTCAAGGCTTTTTGATCTGGCTCTAATATCTATTAAAATAGATATTTTAAGGATGAAGGGTATTGATTTTGCCCAAGTGATTGACAGGTTTGCAGCTTTGAAAACCAGGAAAGGAACATTTTTAATAAAGTAAATTTAATGTAAAAATAACGATAACGTAACGCTGTTTGCTTTGTTTCTTGTGATTGTTATACTGTGGACTTATTGTAACAAGGAGAAATACATTCGTGGAAGTCGGGGGGGGGGGGGGGGGGGGGGGGGGGAGTGTGACACCATGAATTTACCGCACCGGGTGACACCCAACCCTAGCTACGCCACTGCGGGGCGGGTCAAGATTTTTGCCGTTACCCTTACAAGAAAAAATCTGCAGTTGGCGAAAAAAGCCGCCACTTTTTTAAAAGAAAAAGTGCCGCTAGGAGCGAACCAATCCCCTTTCCTATCCCACTGTGCCGCCTTCCTTAGCAATGGACTTACATAAATCCAGTAATTAAAAAAAACAATTCGGTATGTCTTGCGTAATTATTTAGAAGAAACTATAATTGAACGACAAGCAAGGAACGATTGCGTTAATTGGAGTTTCCAAATTCAGAATGGGTTAAATAACGCCATCCACCGTTATCATGTCTGTGTCAGTTTTCCGAAAGAAAATTTGTTACTTTCAAAACGAAATGTAGGCCCATTTGCAATTCAGAAGTAAAGTAATTTATTATTCATTGCAAGTCAAGTTGATACTTTTCGCTATAAAAGAGCTATAAACTTTAATAAGTGTATCATTTGGGACTTGAGTCTTATCAATGTCGCCCTGATTTTGACAAAATAAGAAGTCGCAGTGTCTGGGAATTAAATCTATTCGGTGAATGAGTGGGCTTACCCTTTACGGCTTTACGGGTCCTTTGAGTTTCTTTTGAGTGAGTGACTGTCAGAAATTAATTGAACAAAGATTAAAACTGCATTTTACCACATGCTATATAGTGTATCCCTCAACTCATTATAATAACTTTAATAAATATGCAATATTCAATATTCGATGAAAATGGTCCAGACTGAACTGTAAGTGTAAGTCAATCATAGTGTTTAGTATTCAAAGTTAATGGATTAAATTTAAATATAAGTTAAATATATGTGATGATGTATGTAAGCGTAGGTTAATTTGGAGAGATAGCATGTAATCTACTTAAGTCTTATAATATAACCCTCTAAGAAAAAAAATTCAAGTATAATAGTAATAGTAAAACTGAGAAGGCTGATGAAAAGTTCATAATATAAGACCTTTGACTTTGTCCTTTACAGCCTTTTACTTTTGCTTTACTTTAAGTAAGCTCATTTGACTCTTAGTAAGATGCAGGCTTTATCATTATTGCAAGCCCCAAATACACACTCAGTCTCAACCAGTCAGACCGGTGTCTTGTAATATCATCAATATGGCCTTGTCATTCCTTATGGTGCCTCCATAAAAAACATCACGCTTTTTGGCAGTTTTGGATCCCACCCCCTCCCCCCATCATCACTAATTTCTCACACTATTTGCCAACCTCTTATTCTTAATATTAATAGATTGATAAGATTGTCACAAATTTCTAATCCCCACCCCATTTAGGTGTGTGACATCGTTTATGAATGGCCCTATTAGTATTAGTATGTAGTATGTAGTAATGAGTAAAGTAGTATGTTATATATTTGATTTTGAAAAAAGCCCTATATCAACTATATGTTTGATGTTTATCATAGTTTATGTAAGGCTTTGGTTTGTAATTACTGTAATAAATTTACTTCTAAAAAAAAAAGTACTTAAAAATATTATGGAATTCACTCAGTGATTATCAAGTAGGCTTACGTGTAATTAATCATGTTAGGAAATGTGTAACTTTCACTTAATCACTTTCTTACAGTTTTTGACACACTAAAATAATAAGGCGTCAGAATGTTTTCTCGGAGCAGATTGGGAATCCTTAATAAAAGAAGTATTTTCCTGAATGTAAAGGTAAAAAAATGTAAAATGTTCAAAATTTAAAGTAGCTCTTCTATTTGAAAATAGGGCTAACAAGATTATTAGTTTTTTGTAATGTTTCCATGAGTATTTCAAGTTATCCAAAATGAGAAACAAAATATTAAAAGCTACAAAAAAGCACCCCAAAAAATTGTTTATCCAAACTGTGGAATAATAAAAAAATAATTTCAGTTACAAAACAGCATATAAATAGAATCAGTTTAATTATTTAGATATATTAATCATATAATAATGATACAATGCTCCTTTAAAATTTATAGAAATCATGTGTTCAGATTCACAGTATTTACTAATTTCTAAGCTGCTCTTATCATTGTCTAGTGGTTACATAAATGCATTTCAGACACAGGTTCCAAGTGCTGCTAGATTTGCATGCAAAGTCCCTATTGATGAAGAATGGAAAAAAGGGGCAGCAAAAGAGCTTAAAGACAAAGATGTTGAGAAAACACTTACCTGGGAGACAGCAGAGGTAATTATTTCAGAAAGATTAATTTTTTTTTTTTATCATCTGAAAAAATTTTTTATCATCCAAAAGATACATTTGGAAAAATGTTTACTGTGAGTATCATTATCTAAAAATTTATTATTAAAAATGTTAACCCTGTGGTGCACTGGTAGTGATGTCAAAGATATCACATTTGAATTTGGTTAAGGGTTGTCCAGAGCTATGAGTTAATGGTTGGAAGAGACTCGTCATCTATATAAGGTATTTAATTTTTAAAAAAGAATTTAATTAATTTTTAAATAAAATGATGTCAATCTAATAATTTCTACAAATCAGTTTGCCTAAATTCGTCAAAATAGTCTGCTCCTATGATTTATGTGATGTATATTTGAATTAAAGGGCATTGATATCAAGCCAGTCTACACAACGGCTGATACAACAAATGTGGCTGCAGAAATACCTGGAAAATTTCCATACACTAGAGGTGTATATTCAACGATGTATACACACAGGCCATGGACCATTAGACAGGTAAGTGAGGTCTCATTGGAATCTGAATTGATCAAATTATTTATTGAATATGCAAACTAATAATTATTTAAAACTTTATAACTTCATTCCTTAATTGTTTCTGAAGTTTGTTTGTTTGTCATTTTTTTAAACATTATTTCTGATTTTCTTTACAGGATGATTATTGAAACTTAGTAGAATTTGTTTTATCATGTCTTTTTATGCCTTTATGATTAAAAAGTTCACCTAAATAATGTTAAAGATAAGAATAAGAAAAGCTAAAAAGTAAAGTTACGTTAAAATTAGTTTTAATCAGCCTAAAAATGTGTTTCATCTAAACAGTATGCAGGTTTTAGTACAGTGGAAGAAAGTAACAAGTTTTATAGAGACAACATTAAAGCAGGCCAGCAGGGCTTGAGTGTGGCCTTTGACCTTCCTACTCATAGAGGGTAAGCTTCCTTATTTTAAGCTTTGATACATAACACTGGATGACTTTGTTTAAAATGATTGATTTTTTAAACATGTTTTGGCGGAGAATTACCACAAATCGTTTTTTTAAATATGTTTAAATAATATTTTGAAAGTCTACAGACATAAAAATTAATGGAAGATGTTTTCAAATTTTGTCTAAAGCAATTAAAAAAAGTGAGTGAATAAATTAATCTGTTATTATCCCACTGGTTATATGCAGGTATGATTCTGACAACCCTCGAGTAGTTGGGGATGTGGGCATGGCAGGAGTAGCAATCGATTCAGTGGAGGACACAAAGCTGCTATTTCAGGGGATCCCCCTTGGCAAAATTTCCACTTCAATGACCATGAATGGTGCTGTGCTTCCAATCCTGGCCATGTACATTGTTGCAGGAGAAGAGCAGGTTAAATCTGATTTTCTTATTATTAATTTAGTCTACATTTACTAAATAATAATAATAATAATAAGTGGTCTTATATAGCGCTGTACCCCGGCCTAGGGCTGGGCTCACCGCGCTGTACATAAATATAGCAAAGAGGCATAATTATAATATTAAAATAAAATACATAAATGAAATAAAACAACATATAAGCAAAACAACACCATAGGTATATTCATCCACCCACACCAGACATTTTTACAAGGAAACCCATGTACGTTTATCGGTTTATAGGAGGAGAATCAGTCAGAGTAGTATAGTTTAAATAGATGTGTTTTGAGTGCAGTTTTGAAGGCCTGTGTGGTTGTTATATTGCGGATGTGTAGTGGCAAAGAATTCCATTGTTTGGGGGCGCAGAAAGAGAAAGATCGTTCACCATATAATTTAGTGCGTGTCTTGGGAACGGACAGAATATGCGAGTCTGCGGAGGAGTGAAGTTGTCGAAGGGGTGAATAGACGGAAAGAAGTTCAGTTAGATAGGAAGGGCAGGAATCCGAGAAAAAGTTGTGACAGAGAAGAGACAGCTTGCATTGAAGATAATATAAGATTTTTTTATTGATCCAAATAAATGTAAATGTTTTTTTTATTACATTGTACATATTCATTTTCATAAATAAATGCAAATTTTAACCAAGACAGCATTTTAAAATTGTAACAATTTAAACAAAAGACATCTAAAGTATTTCTCTAGAGTAGAAATTCCCATCAATGACCTTTCTTAGTGACAATAATGACTTATTAGTGATCATTTAAATTTGGTAACTGCTGGGGAAATATGCTGGTAAATTTGTGCAGACTGGGGAAACAAAAGAATTTTTATATCTTTTGGTCCTAGGTATCTGTGATGAAGAGCTATTATCCAAAATTTTATTAGTCTACAACAGTATTTTTCTTCACATAGTTATTCCAGTTCAAGTGAAGGATGTTTAGTTTGTGTGATATTACCAGCTTTCTTGATTAGTCTATTTAATCATTGTTTGATGTCAGACAATCAATTCCCATATCAGTAGGCTTCCAACTGTTGCACTGTAGAATAAGTTAATTACTTGTTTTTTTTACGCGGAAATGTTTTAAGATAGAAAAGACGTTGGCTAACTTTTTTTATGCAGAATTTGGTAATGTTCATGCCATGTTAGCTCATTAATGGTTACACCTAGGTACTTATATGTATTTATTTTCTCTTTGCTGTGATTTTTTTATTGTGAAATTGAATGATTCCCTCTCTGGCAATCAACAATCAGTTCTTTAGTTTTGAGACATTCAGCAGAAGAAATTTTCATAGCACCAACTGATATAGCTTTTAACTAAGTTGCTGCATAAGCTTTCCCCTTCAGATATTAAGTAAATGATATTTTTCAACAAATTTAATGATTCGAACGGTGTAGCTTGGGCTCTGGATAACATTTGGATATTTTGTATACAAGGCAGGGGTGAGAACACAACCTTGTGTCGCCCTGGTACTTATTTCTCAAGTTAATAATATTTGATCATTCTCCTTAACATATAATATTCAATAACCATTATGACACAAGGAAAAATAATGTAAAATGTCATGATTACTCAATTTTCTGACTTGAAACTATATTTTTGATTAATTGATGAGTAGGCTTTTTGTTGTGCCTCATTTCCTATAGAATGATGGTTTTGTCTTGAAATTCTAATTTATTTTAAAAAATTTGTTTTTGGATATAGGAAATTACTGAAATTTGTACTTGAAACTTTATGCAAAATAAAAATGCTAAAAAAAATATTCCATTTATATCATTGTAGAAGTGCAGGTTAATGCTTGTTATTATCATTCAAAATCACTTTCATTATTATTTTTATTAGTGGGGGTTTTACATAGCGAGATACCACAACCTAGGGCTGGGCTCACTACACTGTACATACAATTTAACAAACATAATCATGAACTTAAAAAGTAACATACATAAAGTAAATAAAACAAAACAAATCTATATTCACTCCACACTTTCATAATATTGGTGAACTTGTTAAATAAAAATCATTCATTTTTCTATAAAGAAGTTTGTTTGGTCATAAACTTAACTATCTAAATACTCATTAAATAATACATTTCATATCTTAAATTGTATATTTCTACACATAAAAATTCATATTTTTTCTCTTTCATTTGCAGTTATGCTGTTCTTTACTATGATGAATATTTAAATATATTTATTTAAATAGTTCTGTAATGAAGGTGAATATTATTTTACATATTTTAGGGCTCTAAACAAGAAGAACTTGCTGGAACAATTCAGAATGATATTCTCAAAGAGTTTATGGTGAGGAACACCTACATTTACCCCCCAGATCCTTCAATGAGGATCATTGGTGACATTTTTGAATACACATCAAAGGTGATGATTTCACATTTGTAGCACTCTATTATGAACTTAAAAAAAATTGAATTTAAGATATTATTGTAAATGAATTTCTTGCAATAGTTTTAAAAATTTCATTCAGGAGAATAATTACTCAAATACACTTTTGAAGATACTTTTTTTTTTTTGCAATATATGAAAAGTTAATTTCAGATTCAGAAAAACTTTAAGCAGTATTAAAAAGTTTATTAACAACTATATGTTTTCTTTTCAGTATATGCCCAAATTTAACTCCATTTCCATTTCGGGATATCACATTCAAGAGGCTGGTGCTGATGCTGTTTTAGAGTTGGCATTTACCTTGGCCGATGGACTGGAGTATGTTAGGCAAGGTTAGTAAATTTGAGATGATGAGTGATAAGTTTTACCTCGGAATTTTGTAAGGCAAGTTCCTAATTTATTTTGTTATAATGGAATTGTAGTTTTTTTTTATGCAGCAAGTCTATTGTCTGTAATTACTAGAATTTCCTTGTGTATTCGATCAAACTTTCCTTTATACTAATTTTAATCTTGACATTTAATTGTGACATGCTGCTAAGTGTCATCACTGAGAATTAGTTATGATTATTAATTTTGGTGCTGTGATGACTGTTTTTAATTTTTATATGAATCAATATTTATTTCAATAATTTTTGTTTTGTGTTAAAATAAATTATTGAAAACAATGACTTGTAGACAGATGAATAATGTTTTTTTATACTTTGAGCAATCTTCTTGATTTCACTATCTTATAAGTGATTAAATCTTGTTTCTGCTCTTGTTTGCCTATGAAAAGCCAGGTACATTCAACTCTATAGAAAAGGGTTTACCATACTATAAAGACAAGTGAATAGAGGTTTTTGGCTTATTTTATAAGCCTATAATTAAATAAAAATATCTTATTTTGATTATTGTAAACCACTGCAGGAGTGAAAAGAGGTTTGGATGTTGACAAGTTTGCACCAAGACTGTCATTTTTCTGGGGAATCGGTATGAATTTCTATATGGTAAGACCTTAGACAACTTGAAATGAAAATAGCTGATCTATGTCCCCCCCAAAGCTGACACTTTTACTATGACCTTATTTATCTGATCCATCTGAGTTTCAATATCAAACAAGAGAAAATTTATATCCCACCAGTATGAATTTTAAAGTAAAATAATTTCCAATTACCCATGATTTCATCTACCTCTAATTACATCTTTTTCAACTATAACAAAAAAGAATTATCAATTATTTTATTCTTTTATCTGATACCTGTGAATAAAATATCTGAAACTTGCACCCAATAATGATCAAACAAAGCCTTTAACTCCCCTTAAAGTTAATGACTTTTGCATTAAAGTCATGTAAAAGTACCTTAAATGAGTTATTTGATAATTTTTAAACTTGTTTTCATAGGAAATAGCTAAAATGAGAGCAGGTAGGAAGCTATGGGCCACACTAATCAAGGAAAAATTTCAACCAAAGTCTTCAAAGTCATTGCTGCTAAGAGCTCATTGTCAAACATCAGGATGGTCTTTAACTGAGCAGGTTAGATTTCTTTGCTGGTAGAGATGAACTTACTTTATTCATTATTTTCAAAAATCACTGTATAATTTAGAAAAAAAACGCACTTATATTGCACACTTTCCTGAAATTCATTTTATGGAACTCAAAAATGCTTCCATAATATTTATATTAAATTCGATTGAACGGGTTATTTGAAATTAATTAAATTGCTTTTAAATAGTCCTGGTTAATTTCACCCATAAAATAAAACAGCTTGTAACAATAAGTAAATCTAAATAAGTAATAAATTTCACTGACAGAAGATATTTTTAAATGTACTTTGTTTTTTATTTTTATGCTTTTTTATTGCAGTGAATCCATAATTAAGAAATAATTTTAAAAAGAAAATGTATAAATTCAAAATAAAATGTAATATATATATAAATAAGAAGAAGCTAATGTCACCATGTAACGCTGAGTTCAATTATTATAATTATTATAAATACCTTTAATACAAAAATCAAAGAATTATTTTAAGTATTTTATTTGAATGTGAGGGCTAAGATATTGTATTAAATATGATTGACCTTCTTTTTATAAAAAATCACTGATCATCTATGTATTATTAATTTGTAAGCAAATTTATCTGGAAACCCCAAAAATCAGATTTTTTAAAATTGTGTTGTCAAAATAGCCAGATTAAAATAAAAATTATTTTAATTGCTCAAATAAAATGGAACATTATCAAAGTTTAGCTTGAACTCAATTAACCAAAATGTATAATAATCTTATAAGAACTTAATTAATATTGCTAACTATTGTTTTAAAACACCACACAAAATTTAAGCTTTGCATTGATAACAATTAACAAATTGTACCTTTTTCACTCCACGAAATTGCTGATCAATCAACAGTCTTCAAAATTGCATGCAGATTGGGAATGCATATAATTTAAAAATAAAATTTTGAACTATATATTTTACCATTTTTGTTGTTAGATAATTTTGTTTTTTTAGGAGGATTTTGGAGGTTGGGTGGGGGGAGGGGTGTATATTCAATATCTCCAAACCCGATATGATGTTATGATACATATTTTATCTGTTGAATGTATTTTACTTTAAAAATAATAATCCTTTTCTTTAAATATATGGAGACATATGCGTTGAACTATTTTATAAAAAAAGGAAATTTTATACATGGCATGGTTCAAGAGGGTGGGACATTAGAATCTTAATATAGTTTAAAATTAAGGTGCAGGGTAAAGTGAGTAAATTCCAAGCTTGTGGACTGGTGTTCAATTCCCAGCAAAAGCCTAGAAAAAAAAATTCAAATTATCTAAGAGATTTGAGCAACTCTCCCTCATTTTAAACAAATTACAGCTCAAGTCAATACTAATGCAAAAAAATGGCCTTCGTTATTTCCGTGTGTGAAAGACAAACATTGATAATAATAAGTTTAGGGTCATGCAAAAAGTGTGTGATGGTATACATAAGGGGTTATCCCCCCCGGTGGTGCTTTTCTTAATGCTTAATAAAAACTGAATAAAATATATGTGATATTTATATATATATAAGGGGCTGTGATTTTTTTGGATTAATCCTCTTGGGACGTAAGGGCCGATCTATCTGCCCAAGTTGGACTAGCGAGAAAGACGTAAGTCTGAACCATCAGACCGATAAATCGAGCCTCATGATTGGCTGGCTTGGTGTTGTACCAGGGAATCAAATTTATTCTTATGTATTCCTGCACATCCCGGCATTGTAATGGCGGCGTTCATTGATGGTGAACTAAATTTATTTGTGTGCAGGAATTTTTTTTGTGTGTATAGTTATATCGTGAAATTTGAGCATGTCTGACAGTGACTTTGATCAAACTTTGCTTAGTAACTTTGATATTCTAGCAGTGAATTTGACACTGAAACTGATGAAAACAACCAGGAAATTAATGAAGATTTTCAAATTGAGGGTAATGCTAAAGTTGGGAACTCTTGGTTTAGTATTAGTAGTATTAGGGGTCCTCAACTGGACAGACATGACCCCTCTGAATTTTTAGACAACACAGGTCCTATAAATAAGGCTGAAAAATGGGGGTGGGGGGAAAGGAGTAGAACCATGTGCCAGATGTATCTTAAGGGCCTCCATGGGCCTTGTTTCCCAAAAACATAAGTGTTAGGACTTATTCAGGCTTCATCCATAAAAAAATTCACACAATTGATACAAGTAAGTCATGTTTATTCTAGGTGTAACAAAAAATTACATGCATAAATTATGCAAATCAGGGTTGCTCATTTGCATAAATATTGATATTTCAGTTTGATTCATAAATATTGTATTAGTTCATTCAATTTCCTACAATAATATATATAGTTTTACTTATATTAAGTAAATATTTTATTTTTTATAAATTGTTTTGCAATGCAAGTGCCGAGCTCATAAAAAATGCTCCGTCTTTTTGGCACATACACCCCGAAAAAGCTCCGTCCTAAGAGGGTTAAGCCCCAGGCATCACAGGATAGGCCACAGTATGGGTGGGAATATTTTATAACTATAAAATATCTCAAAGCCCAAGTATGTTACAGAACGGAAATGGATATATCTATATAGTTAAATTTAAGTGTAATTAACCTTTTCGAGACAACACATTTCAGCTAGAGGAAAGAAGATGTGTACATTTTTATGTGGATAAAATGCTATGATATTACAGTCGTGAAAAGAAGTGTGATAATTTCTCTTAAAATAAATAAATATATGTTGTACTACTGTAAACTATATTTCAATGGCGTTGACACATTGTGGGCATATTTACAAAAGTATACCCATACCACAAAACTCAAAGTGGATACAATTTTATTAGAAATTAAGGACATCAAGATTTTCCCAGATACAGTTCAGGTGCAAGAGTAATTTTTTTCATTTCCCAAAAATACAATTCAGGGGCTTGAACAATGAGGGGTTAAGATTTTCTGTGAAAATGAGAAAATATTGGTCTATTTGTGTATTATGCAAAATTATTATTCAAGCTTAACATATGTTGTAATATTGACACAAATTGTCTAATTAATGTAAAAAGTAGCGCAATATGCCTTCCATTATAACCCTGGTTAGACCGGGTCATATTGTCTTGTTATAATATACTGTAGCATCTTCTTGAAATAATTTTTTTATGTAGGACCCATATAACAATATTGTAAGAACTGCAATAGAAGCTATGGCAGCAGTTTTTGGTGGCACTCAATCACTCCATACCAATTCATTTGATGAAGCTCTAGCGCTTCCCACTGTTTTTAGTGCCAGGATTGCCCGCAACACTCAGTTAATATTGCAAGAAGAAACAGGTATTTCAAAGGTGAGAACAAAATATTTTGTGACCATTTAACACTATCTTTTAATAAAATAAAGTTGATTTCCTTAATTATGTTAAATGATTTTATAACATCAGATAATAAACCAATTAATACATCTTTCCCATGATGAGAAGTATAACATTGACTAAAGTATACAATTTATGAATCTGTTGGTTAGAGAAATCTAAACAATATATTAGCTTGATGTATTGCTCTATTAGGTGGCAGATCCTTGGGGAGGTTCCTACATGATGGAAAGTTTGACCAATGAGATACATGATGCTGCACTTGTAGTTATAAAAGAGGTCAGACACCCTCAGTTGCATATTCTATCCAATTTTTTTAGCTATATAATTTGAAATAGACAAATGTTTGTTTTTTTCTGCGGACAGCTGAATGTAAGATTATATGTTTACTGATTTGGTGCTTGTAACATTATTTGTTACAATATAAAATGATTTGTTCATAACTATATTAAATGGAAAATGTATACTATGGCATGACATGACAAGTTACAACTTGATCTTACTTCAGATAGAGGAAATGGGGGGAATGGCAAAAGCAGTGGCCTCAGGAATGCCAAAGTTAAGGATCGAAGAATGTGCTGCTAAGAGGCAAGCTAGGATAGACTCTGGTTCAGGTGAGTACTCATTTCAAGTCTTAATGTTAGTTCAGGTAGTGAAAGAAAGAAAAAATCTTTTGTTTTTAAGCTGCATTTAGACCTCAATTACATTATTACTTGATATAAAAGTAAGTAAAATTGATTAATAAATATTTTTTTCCAGATTATTGCTTTTTACACCTTGGAACAGCTTTTGAATAGTTAATAATAAATAAATGCATCTTCATCACCTTTAAAAAAACAGATCAGTGGAAATAACCTAACATTAAATTAAAATAAATTTAAATAATGAATAATTGAACAAAAATTAGATTATTTATTTTAAAGCGTCATGGTTCTTTGGATGCATTTACTAGAAAGACAATGCAATGAATATGTTGCAGAAGTAATAGTTGGAGTCAATAAGTACAGGCTGCCTGAACAAGAAACAGTGGAAGTACGTGCCATTGATAACACTGCTGTAAGAGATAAGCAATGTAATCGACTAGCCAAAGTCAAGGCAACAAGAGACTCAAATAAGGTTAGCAAAACGTTTATCAAAATCTACAAATATTAAACATATATTAAATATATTTATATCTTCGAAATATTGTTTGCAAGTTCCATTAGTTTGTAATAACAATTAAACTTGTGTACAAATAGAAGAGAGGAAGATGTGACAGCAAATTTGTTAACAATACATGAATAACTAGCTCTCTTTGTACTGTGTGCAATATTTTGTACGTTTACTAATCGAATATTAATAGTGTTGGATAAACCAAAAATCAGTCTCTTAAAAAGACTAAAATTTACAAAAATGTATCCATTTATCCCACAATATTACTTATATTATATATACCGGTAATAATTATATTACTTACTTTATAACTTAGGTAGAGAAAGCACTTGAAGCCATCACAGAGTGTGCCTCAACTGGAGTTGGCAACCTTTTGGCTCTGAGTATAGATGCTGCTCGTCAACGTGCCACAGTTGGAGAAATTTCTTATGCCATGGAAAAGGTAACAAGCTCTGATGCATTACATGAGTGATTCCCAAACATTTCCAAGTCATGCTTTAATATAGTGGGGAGGTATGATTTAATATACTGGGGAGGGGGGGGGGGGCGGGGGTGGTGTGTGTGTGGAAGAGACTTATCAGATAATAGATCTGAGTTACAGGTCTTAACATAGACTCCACCTAGAGAGAAACTTGCAAAAGTAATAATTTATATTATTTCAAATTACGGTTGTTAGTAAAAAAAAGTTAAAATCATTTACAATAGCTAAAAAGCTTTTATTTTTTATGTGTTATTTTCTGTTATTTTAAAATTTTAATGTATTCTGTACCAATGTTAACATCCACTTTCACTGTTCAATTCTAACATTAGTACCAAATGTTCTCATTTCATCCAATTTTTTTCAAACAGAAATAGTTTGTCTTTTACTTTTAAAATTACTTTTTTTTAGGTGTTTGGCAGACATGTTGCCACAGACCGTATGGTCAGTGGAGCATATAAGAGTGAATTTGCTGAGGCAGATGAGCTTCAAACAGTTATTGACAGAGTGAAGGTAAAATTAGGATGACAGGATGAAATAATTAGTCATTCAGCGCAAATTTTGTTTACTTCATAAGCTAGAGTAGTGAGGAATTACTTTTATTTTAATATTAATATTTAAGATAAATAATGAAAAAAATTACTTCACAGAAATTTATAGAACTTGATGGGCGTCGACCACGTATGCTGGTTGCTAAAGTAGGTCAAGATGGCCATGATAGAGGAGGTAAAGTTATTGCAACAGGATTTGCAGACTTGGGTTTTGATGTGGACATTGGGCCTTTATTTGCAGTAAGTAATATTTCTTATAGCATTTTAAGGTGAGATTATAGCATTATATCTACTTTATTGTCTGATTAATGTTCATCAAGTGTAGCTAGCCTCTGTTTTTAGTTTTATATATCTCTCTAGTTGCCATCCACAATGGTGCTGCACATCCTGTAAAGCTGAATGATTATCATATCTTTATTTCAGACACCAAAAGAGGCAGCCCAGCAAGCCATTGATGCTGACGTTCATGTAGTTGGAGTGAGTACACTTGCAGCGGGACACAAAACCCTCATACCACAACTGATTGAAGAACTTAGACAAAACAACAGGCCGTAAGATGCTAGTAGATCATGCTTATTAAATAAAAATCTTTAAACACCACCCTTGCTTAGGTTTTTAGATTAATTGCTCTAAATACATTAAAATTGATTAAAATACATTATTTCCAGAACAGTCAAACTTATACATAAGAATGATAATTTTGAGCAACTAAGCACTAACAGCAAATCAAAATTTTTAGTTTTCAAATTATGCCAGAGAAAAAGAAAAGAAAGTATTAAATTTATGTGCTAAATTTATCTTAAAATCAAATAAAAATTTTGCACTGCTAATCATCAGCTGGATTTAAAACAATATTTATTTTTCTGTCCTCTTTTCCCCCTCAGTGATATCCTAGTTGTAGCCGGGGGTGTGATACCACCACAGGACTATGAGGAGCTATACAAATCTGGTTGTGCAGCTATATTTGGACCTGGTTAGTAGGAAATATTTGTTGTTTTTTTATAATTGAAGAGGAAATAATAACCTTTAATCTTTAAATCAAAAATAGAACCTTCTATTGATTGGCTAGAATAATATTTCCAGCCTCTCAAGCATTTATTTTACTTATTCACATTTCATAAAACATGATTCATTTGCTATTTAGTGAGTGTTAGTTAATCTGAAAATCAAGAGGTTTTCAATTGCAACATTGTTTCACCTGGAACCTCCCCTGATTAACACTATCAAACCTTCACAAACTATAGTTGCTTCATCTTGTATTTTCCTTTAATATTTTCCTTCTATACTTTTAGGAACACGAATCCCAGATGCTGCATTAAAAGTATTGGGACTTTTGGAAAAAGAGTTGACATCCAAGGATAAGAAAGAGTCAGCTTTATGAAATGGATGAAACAGAAACTTGCTTTGTGATAAACAGATGTTTTGAAAGATTCAAAATTGTTTGTACATGTATTATAAAGGAACCCAAACCCATATTGTTTAAAATACTGTTAATTTGAAATGGATTTATAGTTTAAAATTATTTTGAACTGGTCTTGCTTATGACTGACACTTCTTAAGTATTGACTTCACTGCCCAGAGCAATCCCAGCCATTTGCCTTGCATGTAAGTTTTTTGGCTCAGCTATAGTTAGTCCTGCAGCTCCACCATTTACACACAAAAATTTAGCTGCAAAAAGTTTTTGTGTGAATGATTATGTTGAAATTTTTTTGTACATACTTTTTTTTTTAAAGCTATATGATAAATTAAGTAGCCATGCAATAAGAGTATACATGAATAGCGATTAACTGTCATGTTGAACTAATGAAATTTAGCAACTCAATGGATTCTGTTTGTACATACATAACATGAATTATCCAAGACTTAATAGAGATTTGTTGATGGAACGTTATATCTTGTTTTCTTAACTCAATACTTGTGTATGCTTGTAATAGTACTACATCCTTTATTTCTGAAAGACCTCATTTGTGTCAGGCTAATGAGATCATTTGAAACAAGAAAAGTTGGTTTACAGCTAATGGCAAAGTTTGTGGTGTAGAGCTCAACTATTATCTGTTAACTTCATGAGAGAAAACAATGATCTTATCCCAACCTACTTGGTACATAAAAAGCCCTTACGCAAAGGAAAAATCACATCATCTCATTGAGATGATAATGTTACAAGATAAATGGTTTAAGAACATAACTGCATTTGAGTGCATAACTCTCAAAATTTTATCCCTAAATTCTTTTTAAAATGTATCACAACATTTCAGAATAATAAAATGAGCCATAATTATGATGATTCAATATTATTAGTTATGTGAAGATTAAAAGAAACTAAAATTTTGTGATTTTTATAAAATAATCTATTCACTAATACTAGTAAATTTTAGTTAAATTTCTTTTAAATATCTTGAAATCCTGCATACATTTTAGGGATATTAATGTTCCTTTGATTAGTCAACATTTTTTTATTTCAATATTTACATTTTAACATAATAAAATTATTAGAATTTTCAGTTAACATGTAAGAGAAATAAAACAAAACACACCCAGGGTATTTATCGGGTGAACATTTGTTTATTTTTTAATCAAAATATTTTACACATTTTATCAAATAAAAGAGATTTACTAATCCTGCCTATTAAATGGTCAATAAATTAATTAATTACATAAATCTCATATAAAAATGTGAAGACCATTAGTTCTTACTTCCTAATTTATATTCTGGTTAAAGTAGGATTAATAAATAACACGTTAATTTTGAAGATGTGGGAAGTTCCAATTAAAATTTAAACATAACAGAAGAAGAAACTCATTTAAAATATTGAAATGATTTTTTAAAAACTTAGCAAATATAGCGGGAGAAAAAAAATAATTTTAATATTGGCCTTTAGTTGCCAAGAAGCCAGATTAAAAGAAATAAAAATGCAAAAAATTTAATTTGTGAATAATTATAATGAAAAAGTTTATTTAATAAAATTAATTTATATTTCAGATAGATTAATTATGGAAAAATGCATAGCTTGTTAAACAAAAATCTTAAATTTTTTTCTCACTTCTTCTAAAAAATGTCAGGGTGACTCAGAGGTAAAGAAGAGAATAGCAGCACTTAGAGTCATTAGAAAGCTGATTAGAATGATAGATTTACCCATATAGACATTATCTCACAAATAACCATTTAAAATAAAATTCAGTTCAAGACAGACTACACCTGAAGGCAAATGCCCAAATTTAATTAGTAGTTTTGTTTTTGGATACCTTTTTTTTTTTACATCATTTTAAAAATGTGTGATGTAATAGCAATACTAGCCACAAGAAGTCAAATATATTTCTCAGTCTCAGTTAGACAAGAATAATGCTTTTTTCTTGACCTATGACTATGAAAGAAAAGCACAGGATAATGTCATAATACCAGGTATAGTTATTTCATTTTGAACTGAAAGGTTCTTGGACTTTGTCAAGCAAACATTTTTTTCAATGCTTTTTTTTTTCTGAAAAATATTCTAAATATGATTTGATATTTAGAATCAAACTTTTAATAGGGGTTAACAGACACTCCAGAACATCTTTGTATATATTATTACTGTATTAAGAGCACTTACAGAAAAAACAAACAAATACAACAACAACATTGTATTTAAATTCCATCAAGTAACATTTAAGAAGTCGTGTCAAACTAGAAATGTATGGAAAAAGAGTTAGCAATACCTATGGTCAAGTGGTATTCATTTGGAAATAAAGAAGTCCACAAAAAGTTATCCACATGTATAAAATTATACAGTGCATATTGAAGAAAGACAAGGAGTACTGCCACAGAGCAAGAGTTGGAAGCACACACAACCATCAGAAATAAGATACTGAGTAGAATTGTGCCTGAATGAAGTAAAATAACAGGAAAATAGCACAAAACTGGGCAAAACATTACATTTTTTGTTTGAAGGCATGAGCATTATTTTTTAAATTGAAGAAATCTTACAAACACTATTCTAACTAGTGGATAAACAAATGCTTATAAAAAGTTCAAACACAAATTTATGAAATTAAAGGAAAGGAATGGTAAAAAATATTTAAAGGATAATATTATAAGGGACTGTGTTCAACCCATGTGAAGGAAATATTGGAAGAAAGATGTGTTTAGGCTTAAAATAAAAGGGACATTTCTGTTAACTATTTAAGCTTTTTAAAAAATCTTTCTTTTATTTGAAAGTATTATTAGAAAGTCTTATGGATGAAATATTTCAAGGGGATTAACCCATCCTGTAGAATTTGACCCACTTGGACAATTTGAGTAAATGTAACAGCAATGATTAGTTGCTGCCCTCTAATTGAACTTTCTAAATGTAGTTCTGCTCTGCCTGCCTCACCTAAAGCGGTCCCATCAATTATCAGAACCCATAAACAGGTCTACCCGTGGCCAACAGACATGATGGTGGACTAACTGTATTGAACTGGTCACATGAGTCATCACTAGCTATATATTCTAATAACTTATAATTCCACTCTGGAATGTGCTGAATAAGCTTTGCCAGCTCTAACATTCATGATAAAATAAATAAATATAAAATCTCCACCTCCAAAGTTCTATCTCTTTGTTTCTTTGGTACAACCAAAACACACAACTTTTTCACAATGTTGCATGAAACACTGTAGAAGTCAAGATTTGTTGTTAGAATAAAAAAATTATTATAAAAAAAAAAGACTTTTAAAATCATGTTACAACAATGGCTAAAATTTACATAATGAGATAGATATATTGTTTACACACTTTTGAAGTGCAGTTAAAAATAAATTGAGCCCATATGACTTGAGCTTGGTGTTAGAGCCTTCATTAGGCGTAGTTAAGTGTTGGGTTATCTGTATACAACTTATAGTACAAATATTGTTCAAAGTTAATAAAATGAATAGTTTAATTCCCTCTAGAGTTAAGTCAGCAAGGTATGTCACTTGAAAGCTGCAGTAAAGTCAGTTCATTTTCTGGTTTAATTGAAAAAAAAAAAAGGTGGGGAATGAGCCTGGAAATAGAGGACTAAGAAAAAATAGATGGATAAAGAGTTAAAACTGAGAGACATTATAAAACATAACAGGAATTAGACAATGTTTTATTATGTTTACAGCTGCCATGACTATGAAGCCTGGAATGGCTGGAACATGTTACTGATCTATTGGCAACTCAAATTGGTCAACAAAAGCTCCGAGTGTCACCCAGTCATTAAGGTGTTGATAAAGCAATTCATTTTTTTTTTTAAATTTTCACAGCCTGTACATGGACTTGACATTTGGCTAATCTGTGTGACAGGAATGCACTTTGACAAGAGGCTAAAAAAAAATTGAATTTGTGCATAGAATAAAAACATCTCGTTTAGTTATCCTAGTATATCAAATTTTTAATATTTTTCTCAAGTGATATTCTTAAAACAATAATTAGTATATCTGTTAAAGTTATAAAAATGTGTCTTAAAATAAATTAATAATTATATGAAAAAGAATTGAATGTACAATGAAATTTGTGACTTATTTTTAAAGTACTCTTAACCCTCTTGAGAGCTTTTAGCCCAGAGTGTTATGGTGAAAAAGATGAAAGGCAGATCCATCTGCCCAATAATAAAAGCCTCAAGATTGGCTGGCTGATCTTTGTACCAGCTAATCAGTTTGCTTCTCAAATTTCTTGCTATCTCACCATTTTAATGGCCGCTTCCATCGATATTTTACGGTGTTATGTCATTTTATATCAATTTTTTTGTACATAGTGACCCCTATAAATGCTTAAAAAATATATCACCTTGAATTATGCCAAAAGGCATAAGCAGTCTCAGGGGAATATTTTATGCAGTTTTTCACATTTAATCTCATTTAAATGTTTGTAAGAACTTATTTAGGCTTCAACAATCATAAAATTTAACAAAATTCTTCAAGTAAGACATGTTTATTTAAAGTGTAAAAAAATTAATTACATGCATAAATTATGCAAATCAGGATATCCTATTTGCATAAATTTAGTTTCATTCATAAAGATTCTATTAATTTATTCAATTCCTTACAAGAATATAGACTATATAATTTTATAGTTGTAAAGTAATTAATTTAATTTTTATAATTTTTTTTGCAAAGTAAGTGCAGGGCTTGTGAAAAGGGCTCCGTCTTTTTTTGCAGACAGTCCAAAAATACTCTGTATCAAGAGGGTTAAAGCCCGTTTAAAAATAATTTAAAACGACCAGAAATATCAGTAGTTGTACACAACACTGATGGCTAGAACAGACATATATGAGCTACCATTTGAGTGGGAGGACTTCTAGATGTCATTATACCTATTTTAACAGTGGTCATTAAAATAAAAATATAGCCATTTGTTTACCTATTTAGGCCATTAACAGCCCAGGTGCAAATGCTTAAAAATAGAATTTGTGGTATGCAACATGAGATATGTGAACTTTATAGAGCAATGGTTACTTCCTATCATTCATAAGTTTAGTTATTAGACCAGTAGGATTCCATAGGATGATAGCAAACAAAGGCATGTTGAAGGCCATGGTGGAAAGGGGGGGGAGGGTGGTGGTTGTGAAATAGCATTAGCATTAACAGGATAGGATATGAAGAGTGTCAGAAAGATAAGTTGCAGAACATGAAATCACAATTTATTTTTGTCCTAGTCACATGATGTGCAGTTCTATTAAAGTAGGTTTTCATGAACCAAATAGATTTCAAGTTCAGGATGAAAGACAAATGATCATTGTATATTGCATTGCAAATGTTTTAGTCACGGAGTCTGGCTATTAGCAAAGAGAGATTCTCTGCTCAAAAGTGATATTTTAAAGAATTGTTTCACGATATCATATTCCAAGTTATTATTCCTTTCAAGAAAGGGAGGAACAGATTCACAATGCTTATCAAATAATTAAATTTACTTAAAAATCATCACCCTTTTTATAATTATTTTTGAAATATTGAAAATAAATATTTTCATTTAAAATGAAACTGCAGACTTGTGCTGAGAGCAAATAATTTGTATTTTCACAGCACAAGGTGTTCATATTTTTTATTATTGACTTTGACTACAATGGCTTACATGAACAATTACTTTAAATATGAATTAAATGTTTACTTGGTTTAGATATGTTTTACAAGTATTTAGAGGCACTAACACATTTTATAAGAGCAAGATAACAATTAAGGCCAGGTTTGATTTTAGTCCTTGATGAAAAGTGAATAATTATATAAACAATGAATAGACCAATTACTTTGTTATTTATAAAAATGACTCTACTGAATCATTTTAAACATTAACTAAATTGATTTCAAAATACAAATCTATATAGGCATTTTCTAGATATATCATATTTAAACTGAAAAGAAAAAGAAAAATTATTTTCACATTTTTACATTATTAATACAAGTACAAGTCTCATTGGGTTTTGAAAATTGTGATTAAATGATTGATATAATTATAAAAACCATTTTAGTTTTAAAAAAAAATATTTCAAAGAAATGAACACAAACTCATTTGTTAAAGCTTATAATTCAATTGAACACCATTAACAGGGATTTTGTCAACAAACCTTACTTCTTTTCTTAAGCAAATAATGTGCAGAGACTATGGATGTTCAAAAATTTAATACATGATAAATTGCTTTATAGAATAGGGGGTTGTCTCTTTTTCAATATATATACTGCAGTAGGTTACTTCTTTCGATATGTAATAGATTGTTTCATAAAGTGTCCAGACTACTTACCTCAATTAAAGCTATGGTACAGTTTCAACAGCTGACTGTCAGATTAAAACTTAAGAGCATTTTAAACCTTTATCCTTGTCACATTTGAGAGGCAATTTTTGAAACAAATACACAATGTTAGTATAAATCATATATTCGGCTATCTATAACATTATAAAGCTAACTTTTCACCTATTTTACTATCTATAGACCAAGCAGTTCAAGGGTTAGGAAACCGTTTTAAACATCGTACACTAGTTTTTAATAATTACCTATATCAAAAAAATGTTTTTCTCATAAATGCTTGCAGTTATTTAAATTTCAGCTTTTAAGATTAATAAGGTCAATTAAATAAATTTATTTGTTCTTAATTTAAAAAACAACAGAATTGTTAAGAACCTCTCTCAATTTTTCATTAGTCTCCCCACTTATTATAATCATAAAGAATGTTGAAATAAAAAAGTTACAAATGAATTGTATGAGGAACCCAAACAGAAAGAATTTTAAACATTTCCGACTGCTTTATAGTTTGTAACTACCATAGCAATAAAACATAAGAACAGCTGAAAATCTTACCACCACAGATGTCAGGTTTGAACCCCCAAGCCAAGTGCACTGAATCAAGACAAGTGTTGAGAAAATCTAAATTAATTTTCGTAGAGCATTGCTCAGATCAGGAACACCGTAACTTATTGTACTCACATTAATTGTTAAAAAAAAAACAAGTTCTCTATTCAACATTATCTTAATAAATCCATCTTTCATTTTTGAACATGTAAATTATTCAATGAAAAAATGTCTATAAATGATGTAATTCACAATAACTTAATAAATTCCTGTCAAACTATGGAGCAAATCGTGTAATGGTTTTATAAATTAATCTGTGTAGACAACAATTTACAGGAACAGTTTTATAGAACTTTTATTATAATGCTTGAATATAAAATTTTCATGAATATATACATTTTAAAAAATTTACATTTGATCAAAATGAGAAATCCTAGAAACCAAAACAAAAGATTAGGTAAAAATAAAAGTTTAAAAAAAGTATAAAAGTCTGCCCTTGATCAAATGAATGACAAACTCACCGATGATTATTATGTCACAATTAAGGATGATCTCATTGGATAAAAGTCAAAAAAGGCCAATCCAAATCATTGATTAAAGCATTAACTAAAAATACCCAGTGACCAAAAATAAGGTTTAGGATAGTGAAAACATGAACAGATTAAAAGGGCACAACACAGATTTGGTGATACTTTTCGTTGTGACAAATAAATGATAGGATTCACTACTTTCATGAGACAAATTTAAAAAATAACAACCTTTAAAAACATCTGTATAACAAGTGGACAAAAATCTGAAATTTATCATAAAATATAGTGTAATTAAGGCAGATAGTAGACTTATTAATTAAGGCAATTTTATATAAAAAAAAGCAATATGTGCTCTGCTTGCAATAAGAGTTGGGTAAAATACTAAGTTGGATTGTCAAAATACATTTTTACAACAGGAAATTTGGGAAAAAAGCAGATATCTGACTTTGTAAAGACTAAAAGTTATCAATACTTTGTGTGGGTTTCCCTGGCTGTAAGTGGTCCAATAAAAATCATTAAAGCTACCATAAGATATAACTGTTACATCTCTAAATAACGTAATAAATACTGAGAGACTTAAATGAAACACATCCAGTGTGTGAAAAAATTTTAAAACATGATTTCTTTTGTACAAATTAAAGCCAACATACAATAAAATGCCAGTTCATTTAACAAATACTCTCAGTGGCCTTGTCACTAAACTTTGTCTTGTCTACTATTTCTGTGTGCTTTTAAATTGTGGTTCCACGTAACAATTACTTCTTGCTGAATGACATTTAATAATATCTGCTTCTTAACATTGTGAATGATTTAGCCACTAGGAAACATTTAGCCGACTAATAAAAAAAACTTAAATGTTCTGTTTAAGAATTGTTAAAGAAGTAAAATACTGTTAACTGAAAAAGTTTCATTTATACAGTTAAAATAGACAATGGGATTAAATAAAATGACATGCCTCCACACATTGAAATTATGTTAATGTGGATGAATTATGGTTTGCAAGCTACGCAGCTTTGTTACCCAACCTGGGCTTTTTTTTCGAGGGGATACATTTGCAGAATCACTAGCAAAAGATAGGGTAGGCTCAACATTTTCATGTTCTGCTTCCTCTGGTATTGAGCCAGTCTGCCGAAGTTGATGTTTAACCGGACTGTCGTCCTGGGTGTGGAAGTGTTGAAGTAAGCTGGTGATGACTCTTGAAACAGCCATGCCCACCTCATCCGGAGGAGTTGACTTATCATTAAGACATTTCCAATCTCGCTCAGTTACACCAGGGGGCATCTTAAAAAAGAAAAATAACAAGATGAAAATTTTAAACTAGATAAAAACAAGATAATCAAGCTGATGAATAATATACATGTTTAAATATTTTGATTTTGTGAGGGAGTTGTGCCTACTCTTCTTCTTTTTTAAAAATTATTTAATGGTAAGATATATATAAATATTGTACAAGTTTGTATTTTGTTGTATTGGGGAAGGCATTAGCCATAGCATCTTAAATGAGTATGTCATCTTTTAACTAAATCTTGACTATACTGTTTTATTTAGGCTGATCAGAAATATTATTTCATATTAAAATTGTCTAACCTGATACATCTTGTCAGTGACTTTAACATCTCCCACAGCATTCCCATTAGAACAACAGACTGGGACCACTATGTGGTCACTCCACACAAACTCCTCTACTTCATGGGCTGAGTGGGGCCCACCTGCATACACATTTGAAAACAATTAATTGATGCCAACACAAATCAATTTAATTACCATATCACATGTTGAAACATTAAAATGTAATATTTTACTGACAATCATTTGAAGATATCAATATAATTTCTAAACCATGCTTTATGAGTCCAGTTTATTTCTGCATTGGTATGAGGTGAGTTTGATATAAAAATTGCAAAACTGATTTTGTTATTTTTTCTGAGCTGTTTAAATTATCTTTATAAAAGCATCTCTCATTTTGCTACAAATTTTCTATTCACCACGATAATTCAGAATTTAAAAAATTAAAGGTTTGTTTTTAAAATGGTTGTATATGTTTCTCCAATTGACTTATTAAAATGTATCTTAAACCTATATTTTATACTAACTTCTGTTGTAATGAAATAGTATAATTAATCAACTTAATCCCTGGGGTGTCTTACCTTCTATGAGCAAACAAATCTGGAAACATCTGCCAGCAATAACCTCTTTTTCCCAAACACTATTGCCACAGAACAAAGTTTTGCCAAAATCTTTCAATCCAAAAGTTCCATCTGAGCTCTGGTTGTACTGTTCACTGACATCCTGAGAAATAGTGAATGATGTTTTAAAGTTACCTTACAATGGTTTACAATGGTAAGTAGTAAAACAATTATGTATGATTTAATGCCTGACAATTCATTAGTAAATAATGTAACAATTTTAATGCAGAGGAAAAAAACCCATTAAAAGCCAGGTTAGTACCTGAGAGTCTTGTTCAGGCAAAACATGCCACACTGCTGATCTCTCTGCTTGTGTGCTGCAATCTTCATCAAATACTCGAGCTACCATTTCACTTGTTCCATAGCAGCCTCCAGTTACAATAAATATGTTTTCTAATTTGGCCAAGTGGGTTCCAATGGCCCTGTCAAGTTGATACAATAGATTGAATACCATAATTAATTTAAAGAATTATCAATTTCTGTTGAAAGGGACAAGCATGAGAGAAATCTATTTGCAAGTTAAGATTAAGGCAGCAGTAAGCCCATAATTTTAGGTCCAGAGTTCCGATCTATTATTCAATATTAACCGAATATTTATTTTATTAATATTAACCCCAAATTTAACCACTTATTTAAACGTGAATTTTATCCAAAAGTGTTTTTTATATATTAAGTAGCCTAACATGCTACATTGTTTTATTTGTAACAGAGTATTTTCTACATAAATAACAAGCTCATATATCACAGTTCTTACTTGCAAACTTCTTCTGTTCTGGAACTAAGGATCTTTGAGGACCCAGTCACATACACACATTCCTTAACTTGCAACGATTTCCTAAGGTAATGGACCTGGATAAAAATTTGTTAGAAAATTTAATCGTAGTAAGCCACACTGACCTTTATGAGAGACAACATATATTAATATTAAAACTTTAGCAACGTTAACACATTATTTTAAATTCACTCAGTCCATTCTTCACTCCATGAACTTCTTATTAATTTTGGCAGCTGGTTTCTACTAGTTGATAGACTAAAGTTGTTATTATGAGTTAATGTACAAAAGTTAAATGTCTCTTAAAATTTGCTTTCAGTACGGTTACATTGAGGAATAGGTTTGAATTCTGTAGTATCAAAATTTTAATGACTAACAATAATGTCAATGAATTCAATAGTATAATTGTTAATATCTTCAGTTAACACACTCCTACACATGAGTATTTTTACTAAAACTTACAGCAAGAGCAATGTTTGCCTCCTGACTATCGGTCTCAAGGCAGTTCTTGGCAGTCGGGTCTAAACCTCTTTCAACTTGCATTAGAAAGGCCTTTCGGAATTCTGGCATGTTTGATTTCTACAGATCAAAACAAATCTTTCAATTAAAAATGTTTACACATCTATAAAATTATTTTAAAACATGTGACGTACATATATATATCTTTCACATTTACAATTTCAAAAAAAAAGGAGATAATATTCCATTTCTTTAAGACAGACAAAGATATAAAATGCTAAAAAAATTACCAGTATCCTTTTTGCTCTGATCAGCATTTTGAGCCAACATGGAAATTTAAATTCATCAAATACAACAGGAAGTAGCTGCTTACGGTGTTCACAGTAGAATACCTGCCAGATAGGAAAAGTCATAATTATAAATGTACAAAAATAGAAGATTTTTAACAAGTTATACTGGAAAAAAATAATTTGTTTTAGCTGCCAATAAAAACTAAATCTCAGGATCTGCAGAACATTAATAATTCTGTTTCCCATTGCATCAAATTATCATGTACAAATTTATCAGGGTAAGGGACAAAGTTATTTTAAAAACAAACAGTAAGGGACAAAATATATTAATTAACAATTTAAAGACATCTTTACACAATATAATATTATTTTATGTCTCACACAAAGAAAGGTTGTGTTAATGTTTTAAAGCAATCTCATGTGGCTATCTTTAGCATTCTTCAGTTACAGAAATTGGTCAGCATCTAAAACTTCATGTCTTGTTTCATTCATCTAAGGAAATGCAAGTCTAATTAAAATAAAATAAACTCATTAGAGTCACTTTCTATAAAAATCCATGATTGGTTTTACATGTAGCTGAAGATGTTTTCAACTGTTCTCAATCTGTTTTCAGGTTTAGAGCGACTACTAAACACAAAACTCTGGAAAAGGTGTTGTTACCTGTTGGAGACAAAGCTTTGACTGAGTGAATGCTTTTGACAAAATGATAACAACTAATACAGCCTTGTCCACAGCTTCCTGGAAAACTTTGACTTGTTGCGGTGTGATGTAGAGGCCGCTGTTGACTGCAATATTCTTAGATGTTTCCTTTTTCAGTTCAATCAAGTCAACTGTAATTTTTATTTGAAGGAACAAACAAACATACAGATAAATTTGTATGCAAATTGATTATCTATAATTGCAAACGTATATTGCATATGAAATATTTGATATTCTCTAATAAAGATATTGCCCATTGATTACCTGGTGAATATTATTGATGGATGTCCTTACAACTCTAACATTATTTTAACATTAAGAGATAGGCCTATTTGCTATAATTTTGTTATAAAATAAGATGACATATCTAAGGGGCATAGAAAGAGTTTACTGTTACTTCTGAAATACATATATGTATTTAGTATAAAATTGTTTGAATAGCCACATACCAACTTGGCTAGCTCTAATAACATCAGCATCTCCCAAATTCAATGGTTCACCTTTGACTGCAGAGACCCAAGTTGAGTGACCAACTTCTTCCAACCAGCCTTTCATTTCGAAACCCTGAGGAAAGCATCAAACTTTAGATTTCATATTTACATCATCAATATCAAAAGGAATATTTAAACTTTCCTTGTGTTATTTAATTTTACGAGTGTTGTTTAAATTTAATTCTTAGTAGGCAGCATTAAAAAAATTAAACGATCACATTAAATACTTTATTTATGTTCATTGTGCTTCTTTAAATTTAAAATTAATTTGATAAAATTATCTTTATTAATCATCTTTTTAAAAAAAACTCTGTCTCATTTAATAGTATCATAATCAAATATATTAAGACCACAGTACTTACAAAATTAGCTTGATCAGGGTGAACACATATGACAATCTTAGGACCAGCTGTTTCTTCTGTGTCATGGGTACTAAGCACTGGAGCAGCATTGGCAGGCAGGCGACCAGCAAATGTTTTCATCAGAGTTTTCTGAAATGCAGAATTTCAATAATTAAATGTTAAAAATTAACTTTCTTGACCATGGCAATTTTTTAAAGCATTTTAAAAAGGCCAATTCAATAGAGCTACATAACTATCAGAGTAGTATTGTTAAAATTTAGAACTAATATGAAAGCAGACTAAAGTTTGCTTTGAACAAATATCAAGCTTCGTTAGTTGAGTAATTCTCACCATTCTTGTCAAAGCAGGTTTAGACATAGAAACTGCTCCAGATTTCAAAGTCTTAAGACGTGTTTCAATCTCTTTGGCAACACCTTCAATGTAGCCTGAATCCCATAAACGAATATCACGTGCCTCTGTTTCTCTACCAGATTTTATTTCTATTTTTAGAAACATTTAATATGAATATGTAATTATTAATGCTAAAAGCATACATCAATCAAACACACAGTGCTGACTGTGAGATACCTAGGACATGAAATAAAATTATGATTGATCCAACACAAGATCTATCATTTTTCTATTCAAACTACATTCTCCCCCCCCCCCACCCCAATTATATCAGCATCAACTGCATTAATGTAATAGAATAGAATTAATTATAAGTATGGTTTTGTAAAACTTTGAAAGACTTAGAGCTAACATAATAAGCCTTCTCAACAAACTAACAGAGAAAATTCTTACAATTTTAACTAATGTTTTAGTCTTAGGGTCAAACCGCTTCCTCCAAAAGTGGGCTAATGTTTTCTAAAAGTGGTTTAATTCTGTCCAAATTTTACTACTTTCATATTCATGTTTAGAGACAGAAAAGTTGTAAAATGTCTTAGACCTTCTTGAATTTGTTGAGGGGATTTCCACCATATGTACTGGGTTGTAGCAAACTGAATGGCAAGACATCGAGGTGGCCATTCTTCAAGAAAACTGATAGGGATTATTGGTTTTCCCAAAACATCCGCAAGTTTAACCTACAAAACATAAAGAAACATTAAAATTTTAGGTAAAAAAATATGTTTGGCAAAAATAATGAAGTTAATGTTTACATACATTTAGTTATTTAAAAATTCAATTCAAGAAATGAATTCTTTAGCATTGTTAGATACAAATTTGGCATAATAAAAAAAGCATTATTTTTTCGTCTCAACTTTAACCTCTTTTATACCTCTCTGTTGGTCCACTGTGTCTCTCCATACCGAGGGGTTACCAGCGGAATAAACACTTCACAATTACTGACTGCATAGTTGAGCGAGTCCTGCCAGTCTAGTCCTGACTTGATTTCATGTACATCCTGTAAATGGTGATAAAACTCTCAGTATTAACACACTTAAGAGAGGAAAAATACATCTTTAAAACTGAAGCTTTTCTTCTAATACTAAGAATAGAAAACTATCCCAATAGAAGCACATTTTTTATTGATTAAATACATTTTTTACCAACAATTTATTTAAATATTAAACACTAGGAGATATGAACTGGTTTTTTCAGGGTAATAATGAAAGGCATATTGCACTACTTTCCATCCGCTATTGTGCAGTCATCACATCTAAAAATACAATTTTCATGTAATAACGGAATCGAGTTTTAATTTATGGCATCCTAAAAAATAAGACAATTTTCAAAGCCGTTGAAATGTATATTTAGGAAATAGTAAATCCGATCCCTTAATTAGTTACAATAATAATGAGGAAAAAAGCCCTTTCATATTTTAATTTAAGGGTACTGTAATAATAGAATGTCTTAAACAAAATACAATTTCACTTGAGGTTAATACTTTAACTACTACTACTATAATTTTACAATTATATTTGCTTTTAAATTAATAATAGTAATACACAAATGATAGTATTGTGTCAATCTCGTTTTATTTAGCACTCTGGCTTTGGTAACGATCTTGATCACATGAAAATCGGGCATTGACTGTATTGTGATTTCGCAGTGTAAATTGAATACAAATATTTTAACGCTAACATTCAGATAAATAATTACAAATTATTGTTTAATTATTATAGTGATTTCATTTCTAATTTAGAAAAATAATTCTTACATATAAGCATATTTATTTTATCGGATTTGCATTGATTCGATTTTCGTAAAACGTTATTCGTCCTTTGCATGCAAAGCTGACCAAGGCTATATTTGACTGTGAGTATGCAGGTGGCTTGCCAGTCCTAAAGTGCCTGGAAAGCTTTCCCACACAGGGACACAGGTTTTTTTATGGGACTCGATTCTGCTTTTCCTTGCTGAGTGGTTTCTTGGGGCGTGAGTGGTGCCTTTACTCTCAGAGAATTGTGTTCCAAAAATGAATCTGTCTGGCTAGCTTGAACGATCTATAGCAAGTGTTTCCCACCAATTAAGATTGATATTCATGGATTTGAGTGAAACTTTTAGACAATTCTTAAAGTGTTTTCTCTGCCCATCAGATGAGCATTTCCCCCTGGAGAGTTCATTTAATATTAGTTTTTTAGGAAGTCTGCTGTCTGGCATTATGACAACATGCCCTGCCAATCTGGCTAGTCTTTTGTGTAGGAGTGTGTGGATGCTGATAAAGTCAGGGTGTTGCAGGACCTCTGTATCAGGGACTTTGTCCTGCCTCCTTATGCCAAGTAAAAATTTTTTTACAACATTGTGCAGGAATTTAGTTTTCACAGCTATTGAACAAAAATTTGCACTCTGTTTATTCTACTTTGGGGAATCTTTTATTTTTGTGTTATTGAACTGACTGTAACACAACTACATGGGGCTCATTCTTATATATGTTGATAAACTCACAAGATAGACAGAGAAACCTATGTCTGTTAATTTCCTTTTAAGGTTAATAGCATGTTCTGCTGCTTCAGCTCTGACATAGCTTATCAGCAACTGCTTATGGTCCTGATTCACTTGCGGACTTGGAGCTGTCACATCGGCAGATTTTCTGTCTATGTCTTTGCTGGATGTGAATGAAAGTCTGGAATATAATGAAAGAAATATCTGAAGGGCATGCCCTTGAAAAAACGAAACACATCTAAACCAATCCCCCCCCCCCCNCCCCCCCGTAATTTAATAATGGTAATCTCCTGGAAAATAGTACAGATAAAAAAATGTTTCAAATTCCAGGTAAATAATACAGAAAAAAAACATGGTGAGGCTACAACTTAATACTACAGAAAAAAATGTAATTTTTTAAAAAGAGAAGCTGAATACATTGATAAGGCAATCAATGCATAATTTGTTAATAACTCAGAATAAAGGAATACCTCAGTGTCTTAGTTCGTGAGTGGTCTATTACTGATTCCATAGACTTCCGTTTCAACTGTGTCTGATGATCACCTGGTTCCCATGTGGTATGTTCAGAGACAAATATCCTTACTTCATGCTTTCTGAGAATTTGATAGACATAAATACGAGATTCCATAACCATAGGTACCAGGGAGCCATCTGAGTGCATGAAATGGAACTTACTTGATGAGCCAGAAATTTCTGAGCACTGAATAAGAAAGGAAAATAAAAGAATTATACACCATCAATTAATTTGGGTAAATGATCTGATCAAATTACAGTTCAATGACTTTATTTCACATGTTTATTAATTTAAATTCTGTTTGTTTTTTCCAGTATTGTAAACCACTTACATTAATAAATGGAAAATATAAGCTTACATTTGTTGTTATGATGTCGCGAAGGTCAGTTAATGTGGCACAAAATGTACTAAAAATGTGACCATAGATCTCACTACCATCATGATTTCTAACAAACAGTTTTGGCAAATCTGAAACATTCAAAAACTTTAAAAGGTAACTTTCATTCAAATTGATAAAACAATTGCTAACAAATGATATATGGTACATTTTATGTCACCACACTCAATAAATTGTCCTTCAACTTAAATGCCATAATAGGTAAAGGAGATTATTGGTTAAAGTAAAAAATATATATTGCGCTGTTTTTTTAAGTCAGTGGCAATATCATGTCAGGACTAAAGTTGCAAATATAATTTAGGAATCTGTGGCTTCTATGGAGAGCAATGAAAGTAACAACATTTATTTTTATTGTTTGAAATTTATACTTAATTCTCAGTACACTTCAAAGTGATTTCTCTGACTATAGTATTTCACAGTAATACACAATAGCAAATATTTTTTAATATTTTAATATTTTCCTTTTAAATTCATTTCAAGTGATGGCTTCATTAATAAAGCAAGAAGACTAACAACTATCCAAGCTGAAAATCAACATATACTTAATAAATTATATGTTTTTTTCTAACAGTTATCAATATCACAAGAATAGCAACAATTTTCAGGACCCAAAAAATGAAATGACATGGCTCTGCCCAAAAAATTCTTTATTTAGCTTTAGCACATTTAAGAAATATACACAGAAAATATAAACATTTTTTTCTAGTACTTAAGCTAAATATTTGACATACCGTAACTGTCCCTTATCAATATGGTACCATTGTAATCACAGATTTGAGAACATAAAATGTCTTTCTCTTGGGCATAGAGTATTTCATACCTATGACAAAAAAACAAACAAAAAACAACTAAAAATCATAAAAAGAAATATGCAATTAAGGTTGCACTTACCAAGGAATTTTAAGTTATTGCTATTAAATAAATAATTGAATGATTTAGCTTTGAGGAAAAAAATGATGTTACATCATCTAATGATAAATTATTTGTTAGTTATTAGATGTAATATTCAACACACTAAAAAAAAAAAGTTATTGGCAAAACATCTGCCTACAGTATCTTCAAGTGCTTCATATTAATGGCTGTAATGTATTCCTATAATTAAATACCTTGCTTTTGTATAAAAGATAAATCTCTGTGGCACTACTTGACAAAGTTGCTGTCTCAATATTGACCGTAATGTTGGCAACCGCAAGTCTTGCCATTGCTGAATAGGTATGGTAACTATGCCTAGACAGGTGTCCTCTGCTTGTGATGTCCCATGATGGACAAGGCTTATATTGATGATTTCAACTGCTGTAAAAGGATTTGTATTGTTGAATAAAAGCATTTTATTTTCTATGTAACATGATGTGCAATAAAAACCATTCAGAATTAAAGGAAGTTACATGTAATGTAATGCTACTGAATTTGTAATTTTTTTTTAAAGTAGCTAATAGTTCTTTCAACAATTTTCTTTCTTTTTTTTTTTTTTTTTTAAAAAGAAAAAAAAAAGAAAAAATATTAACTTTTTCAAAAACTGTGAATGGGTTAAAAAACATTAAAATCTGTTCAAAATAAAAGCGTTTTAAAAAACTTATAAGTTTTTTTTTTATATTTTTTTTATATTTTTTTATATATTTTTTTTTTTTTTTTTTTTTTTTTTAAAAAGAAGAAAAAAAGATAAAATATTAACATTTTCAGAAACTGTGAATGGGTTAAAAAACATTAAAATCTGTTCAAAATAAAAGCGTTTTAAAAGACTTATAAGGTATATCTCCATTATCAGTTATGTAGTCATGACGTTAAATTTTAGTTGCCATTAGCCACATAAAAGACAAGAAAGGCAAACCAAGGCAAGAAAAAACAAATGACTAACTCCCATTGCCATGCCCATCTGATTTTAAAACCATTATTATTATTAAAATCATGATTAGAACAAATATTAAGGGTTGCTTTTACTTTTAACATTTAATGAATATTAATTTGAGGTTAGTTACATATGTTCAAGAGTATGTATTTTGTTTACATTTAACCTTACTTTCTTGGTCTTTTCAAACATAAAAATCATATAACTTTAAATAAGTTTTAATTTCAAGACCATTTTCAAGACTGATTTGCATATTTAAACAAATTATTTTAAATAATAATTCTCAGGTAGGCAAGACTTAATTTTATATACTTTGAGAAATTTTGTAAATTTTTTTTTCTATATGAATAAAATATCAACTTAGGCCTATTTTGTTTTTAAATTAAAATCCTGGGCTATATATCATGCATGAAAGTTAGGGAGTACAGTAAGCACAACAAACTTATTTGCAAAGCAATTCTTAATTAATTAATGTATCTAAAATAAGTTCTAAAATTACTTTTAGACTCTAACTGAAGTAATGAAAAGATAGTTTTATAAGTTGATTTACCTATAACACCTATATAATTTTAAAAATATTAAAGAAATTTTTTTTTCTTTTCAAGACCAAAGGGAAATGACAATTACTACAATAAGAGAATGATTTGAATTATTAATTTCAATTATAAATCAATTTTCCCTGAAATGAAGGGGAATTACCATGTTGTGAATATTATATATAATTTTTATATTATAAAATCCTAAACTACTGTTAGGGCCTATTAAAATTGTCTAATTTTGGGTTAGCGGTAAGGCTGACATAGTGTTCCACAGTATATAGGTCATGGAGGTTCCACCAGGACAACTTCCATTCAAAAAGTTTTGATTTCCAGTTTTTATTCTTCACATTTTCTATTTTTGAAAGTTTAGGGTTCTGGAGAGGTGTGTCTTATTTTGTTATTGAAAATGGGAGGAAAATCAACTATGAGATTTTTAACACGGAAAATAATATAATTTATAATATGGACTCTACCAGGTTTTTAAACCTAAAATGAGAATACTCCGATCATAAAATGCCCTCTAAATTCATTCTGAAACACAAGTTATCAACTATTTTGGTGTATATATATAGTGGTAATAATTGAATACTTCCAAAGCTATTGCGTCGATGTCCATTTCTAATACAAATTAAGTAGTATTCTACCTTCTGTTATAAAAGTTTTAGCATACAGATACTTTGATTTTTAACTAATCAAAAGACAGCACTTTTAGCGGTGTTGGGTCTTGAAGTTTCAGCAACCATGTGTTTCTTTTTTCATTTCTTTAGAAACTTTCAGTTCAAGTTTAATAAAAATTAATGGAAAATTTCATTTTAATATAACATAATGTATTAACAGCATTGATCGTCAAATTTATTTATGATGCAAGTAATTTGCAGTGAAGAACGGGAAAGTTATCACACAAAGTGTTCATGTACTACAAATTGGTATATTTACTCCAATGTAGAGATTCCCCATAGTGACATCACTGAGCTTAGTGTGAGACAACTCTTGGCAAAACCCATACCGTTAACCCAACATGTAACTTACATTTTTTTAGTGGATTACTTTTGTTTTAGTTTTAAAATTAATTTCAATAATCCCAGGCAATTTAAGTATAAGTAATACAAATACAAGTGTTACTACTGATACTTGTTAAATTGAGGTGACTAGAGAAGCTCTAATCAAAAGTTACTTTTATTTCTTCTCTGTGCTGTTGAATGAGTGTTTCCCATCACGGACAGCGACTCTGAACTCACTGAACCCTGTCGCTCACTGTGGCTGAGAATCTGTGTATAATGAACTGAGGAATTGTCAAATGTCAGGACATTCTGTTGACTCATCGTATTCAAAGCATCTGCTCTTCTTTAATTGTAACTTCTCTTTTTTACCTTTATTTTCGAAAAGTGGCATAACGTCAGCAAGTAACAACACGAAAATCTGCATCAAAGCATAAAACAACCTTTGTTTTAGCTTTAATCTTCAACTTCGCTGGTTCTATAGCCACCCGCCGCCATATTGTTTACAAACTTTTTAAAAACGGTAGTTCCTTTCAGAGGGTAGTCGCAGAAAAAACGAAACAATAAAAAAGAGAAGCATCTTTTAACTAAACTATAGTACTGAAACTTTTAATTGCCAAAATTTTAAAGATAAAATAAAACAATCATACTAACAGTAGAAAAATTATTTATTTTAATCAAATTTAGGAATAATTATTTTAAATTAATCCAGTACTGTGGAATCGGAGGAGGCGTTTTAGTAAACTTCTTAAGACGGAGTCTTAGTCTTAGAATAACCTCAAACGAATGTAAAATGTCTTTAAAAATAGAATTTATGACGTCATTAATCTGTTTTAATCCGAAATAGAAACACTGGCAGACACTGCGTGACATCGTTTGTCATAGTTAGCAAACCTGTCAGTTGTAGTTTTGGGAAAAAGAACTAAAGGAAAAAAAAAAAAAAAAAAAAAAAAAAAAATGTCGTGTCTTATAGATTTTAAAAAGAATTATCATTAAATTTTGATACACAAATAATTCTTTGGACATTTTCGAGGATTTTCCTGTGAAAATCAAGATAAAGAGCTGGGGGATAGACAGTTCCCAATGTCAATGTCAATGTCTGACCTAGTTCACACATTTGCAAGTATCACGCAAGGTCTTGTACAAAACTGAAGTAGGCACTGGTGATTGGTGGCGACATTTGGACATAGCTGACATAAATTTAATTTGAAAGCTCCCGGCTGATCAAGAAAAATATATAATTAAATCTAGTCAAGTGATATAGGATGAATGGTATCGACACAAACGGCAATCCGAGAAATGTAGTTAAATACGCTTTTCGCACATTTTACTTTATTATGATTCCAGAACCATCGTTTGACGTTGAGCGATTGTCGATGTGTATGTTGATGCTCGTGTAATTGAATCTACAAATCCAAATACACTTGTAGAAAATAAAGTGGAAAGATAAATCGTGGGTGACTGGCCGGCTATAAAAACCGTAAGCATAAATATAAGTTCCATAATTAAAAAAAACAAAAATTCGTATCCAGTTCTCCATCCTCTGCTGATTCCCATTCCCAGCAGTGATAAAAACGAATATCAGAATATCACTAATGACGCTACAGCCGATGCAGGCCTCTGACCTACATCACCACATCCTTCCACTCAGACGGATCCATGGCTTTTCGTCTACATGCATGGACCCCCAGCTTATGTAAATTCATCTTTACATCATCAACCCCTCCCAGTCTTAGTCTACCGATGAGCCGTCCGCCTCTTGGTGTCTGTCTGTAAACAAAAGAAAATCTGAACAGAAAAAAAAAAACAAAAAAAAAACAAACGAAAGGCCAAAGTCTAGGCTCTCCTGAAAAAAAGTGAAGCTGTGACTCCCGGACTCATCACAAGCCCCTCGCAGTAATGAAAAGGCGCTACACCATCGTCCAACGAAGACGGGTGGTTGTCAAGGAGTTTTAATTTAGAACAATCTTCTCTTCTTGCTTTGATTACTTAGATTCCTTTCGTTGTTAAATGACCAATTAATGTTGGCTGCTATAATCCAGTGTTTCTTTCAGACAGTTTGTGCCAAGAGGGGTTGAGGGGAGGGGGGGGGGGCATAACAGATGCAAGGGTAGGTTGTGCACGTGGCGAAAGTATGATGGGTAGAGAGAGTGTGCCCCGGGATGTTTTTCATATTATGGAGGGGTGACATTTTAGGCTTGCTGCAGAATTTTGTCGTGAAAAAAAGGAGGATGGCAAAAGTCATAGCCCACCCAGGGCGGCTATTACCCTAGCTACGCCACTAGGCAGCCCCAAAATTAGGCATAACGGTGACCAGGATCAGATGTAACTCAACACCTTCCTCAAACATAAACTAAATCCAGTTAAGTTGAGGGTAGGACTAAGTTGTATCCCTGGAATCTCTAAGGCCCAACTTTATATACAAAATTATAGGAAAATAATATGTTGGTCAGTTCAATAAAATCATCTTAATTACTAACATCCAGTATGTGAGTCTGTCTTAAAGATGCCGACACTGTTATTTTGATTAAGATAATGGGGCAGGTAGTGAGGGCGCGGACGGTTACCGAATGACAATGGGGAGGGTTGCAGTTTGGCATATTCCTGAATTCAGTGTTTCTTTCAGAAAAAAATTGATATGGGGGGGGGGGGGAGACATTTCAGGGAGACAGGGTATATACCAGCGCAAATGACTTATTATGGCCCCCCTTCCCATACATAACTTGAATACACCCCTGTTGTGGCACCCCCAGGGTATTCTTTTGGCCACAACTAAGATCACCATTTATTTGTTTCTCCGGATGTGGATAAGGAAACAATGGTTGTAAACAATATATAAAAGAACCAATATATGTGTACAATAGAAAGTAGTAGTGCGGCTGAAACTTAAAATCAGGAGTGGACTATTTTTGCGGAAAAAATACGGTAATTACAATGGAAAGCTGCATAAAGATTCGCCTTAAACATTCGGATTCTCAAATATATTTAGCGCATCGATATTTTATTGATTATACTATTTTACTAATTGTATTTAAACAGTTATAAAAATGACAACACGGTAGTAGTTTTTTTTTTTTTTTCAAATAAAATATTGTTTTTAAATTTTCGCATTTTTGTTTTTAAACATTTTCTCCGGGGGTTGGGGGGGGGGATTTTCTCCTGGAAGGGGCAATCCCCCCACCGGAGAGATGCCTGAAAGAAACACTGTGATATTCCACCCCCCCAACCCAACGGGACACGCAACAC